CAAGGTGGTAATGAGTATATAGAGGGGAGAGATAGGCGTTGTGTAGGAGAGCGGCCAGATTTCGGCTAAATTATTCTTGGCAGGACAAAACTTTTGTGAGGCACCTCCGTACAGTCATTACATTACAAGTACGCCCATGCCTATGCCAGCTATGTACACTAGACGCTCGCCCTCGCCGTCTCTCACGCACTGCTCCCTACCGCCCGCGGCATGGCGCCCTGCTCAAACGCCCTCATGCCCGGCGACGCAGGCGATGCAGGCCCAGCCGATGCAGGCGCAGGCGCAGGCCTTGTCGGCGCGTCTGCGGCGTCTATTACGATTTCCCCGTGTCGAGCGTCCTTCCCCAGACTCAAGCTCGTTAGGCCGTGTGGCAGCTCTCCACTCGGCCTGCTTGCCAGATTCTTAAATGGGCACGTTCCCGCCGCCATGGCCGCGTCTTCAATCTCACACCCGCTCTCGCTGCCCTCACGTAAGACGTGCTTGCCATGCAGATAGCCTTCAGGCTCCACCTCGGGCACTAGGCGCTCCTGGGCAAACTCGTCGCCGTCGCGGACATACCATTTGGCAAACAGGTCGTTCTGGATCCAAATCACCTTGCACAGCGCCTTGACAAGGGCAATCTTGCGCTCCATGTGGAGCCGTGGGTGCGACAGGACCGCCTCGGTCAGAATGTCCTGCACAAACGACAGCGTCACGCCAATGTGCACGTACTCGACGTGCAGCGCGTGGGCGCGCCCCTGGCCCACGTGCATCATGCCCACCTTGTCCAGGTACTCCCAAAACTCCATCTTGGACGGGTCGCTGCACAGCTTGGTCAGGTAGCCGCGCAGGAACATTTTGCGGTGCAGGATCTGCGGCGAGTTTTCGTTCAGGTCCGTGTCGACGGACCCTTGGTACGACGTCGATCTGGTTTCAAACGCCCGTGCGGTAATGTCGTATTGGAGCAGCTTCTTGTAGACAATGTTGACCACGGCGGGGATCAGCGCCTTGATGTATTTGGCCCCCGTCGTCAGGGCCTCCATGTCGCCTGAGTCGTTAGCCAAGTTTTCTTTTTTTCCTTTTATTTGCTTTCGTTCCTTCTTTTTTCTTTGTTTGATTCCTTGTTTCTTTTTAGTGACACGACTTACGAGAGCTAAAGTCGAGAAATGAGTGGAGATATTGTATCCGCGCCTCGAGACTGGTGTAGAGCTCGTAGCGGTCAATATGCTGCATGGGTCTTTGATGCAAGGGTGCCATTGTGGATGTGGTGGGTGTATGCCTATGTGTAGGTGGGTGTATGCAGTGATGATTGTTGTGGATGATGATGATGATGTCGTATATTTCTTTGCTTTTCCGCCTCGAATCTCGTGCTCTTGTATATCTGCGTGCTTCTTGTCGTGTGCTGTGTTACGGTAGTCGAATACGAAAGCCTCTGGCTGCATGCACGGGCGCCACTATTTTCAAATGCCGAATGCTCTGTTTGTCTGGTCGAGGCAAAATCAAACACGCAGGAAGTCGGTCTACTTATATCCAGGCCCCAAGCATATATATATATATATATATATATATATATATATATATATATTCGACGTCGCTGTCGGTGGCCGACTCATAGTAAGCCAAGGCCTGGTAATTGGCAAGCGGAACACGACCATTTCCGGCCGCCAGCCCAGAGGTCGTCGTCGCAGGTGGCGCGTGCACCGCGCGCTGCTCGTAAGATTTGCGCGCCCATTGGTGACGCGTGTGGCGTGACGCTCGTCTTTGCATCACATCACCCGTTGGTCTTGTCCTTGGGCATTTGCATACGAATCTGCCTGGCTTTGCCTGACTTTGCCCTTGCCTTGGGACTAATCTTTGCTATACGCTCACTCGCACCATGGGAGAATTCGCCGAGTTGCGAGACGTGGCTATGTGTGGGTGGGTGTGCATGCATGGGGAAGTGCCGATAGAGTTATACTCGGTCTGCTTCGAGGTGCTACTATACTCCAGGCCTGCTCTGCTATACATGTACGCTCTTCTACGTACTTACTCCGACATACATGCTCTACTAGGCGTATATGTTACATAGACTCTCCTATTCCAGCTAGCTACTTCCGCATCAATGTCTCCACTAAAGCAGATCCCCGGGCCTCGCCAACCCCCCCCCCCTTCAACGGCACTGGCCCGGCCAACTTACCATGACCGTCCACACATATATACATACATACATATATACATACATACATATATACATACATACATATATACATATATACATACATACATGTACATGCTATCTTGCTTGAGTTTGCCTCGAGTGAGGAGGCCATGTACCTACCAACTAGGAACAAAATGGCTGCGCTTCGGTCCGAAAGACTAATTCCTTCTCCAGGCTGCGTCGTGTCGTGCGGCCAGGGGAGGGGGGGGAACAACCCTCCGTTGTCGACGTGTTGGCGCCGGGTAGGTGCGCATTCAAAGTTTGTACTAGTGCCGTATTTTTTTACGTTTGCGTTTGAGGGGTCGACTAGATTTGGGCATGTCCATCTGGCCATGACTGCTGATGTTAGTGTTTTGTTTCCCTATGCATACACGTACGTACACGGAGGAATGCGAGTTTTTAGTTTTTTTTTCAAAATCATTCTTGTTTTTAGTAGGGGCGGCATTGTAGCGGTGGTGGGGGAGTCGGTTCAGTACTGGCTTGATGCTTGTTGGGTACAAATTACTACATATACTTGGTCGGTGATATTGTTGGGTGTCGCGGCTAGTGGGATTGGCGTGGCTTGTACCGTCCAGCCACACACGTCCAGCATACCACTCAGGGCAAACTCCGCAGCTTGAAACAAGTGCCCATGGTGATAATATGCGCGACAGAAACGACCCAAAACATCGTCTCCCAATCCAATAGAGTTTATTTCCCCAGCCCAGGGCGAGAGAGCGAGAGAGAGAGAGAGAGAGGGAAAAAAATCTCATTACTTATTGAAACAATATAGTTGCTCCGCGCCCGTGTTTCAGCCCCGTTTACGCCATCATGCCTCGCACTACTGTACGTCGTCGACATGATGCAATGTTTCCACCCTGGATGCTCTCTCCCCTCCACCTTATTGCTATCGTTTATCCAGACCAAAACGACGTCCCATGGTCCAGGTTGAAACCGCCTGTACACCTAATCTAGAATCTAATCTGATTTGCCATCCCATTACGAGCACGAGCATACCACCCCCCAGTCTTTGGAGCCGCATTATAGGTCGGGCTAGAGCTAGAAGCTCGGTAATCGACATGCAACAACGCACGTGACTTGCCCACAAAAGATGCAGGAATCAAGTGAGATGAAAGGGCCGTGTTAGCGCTGTGTACTTGGTCTGCAACATATAGCAGCCAGAACGCCCACATGGTCATGCCAAAGCCAAGTATTGCATAATACGGTCATCTGATGGTGCGATATCGCGTGTTTGAAGTAGCGACTATGGCTGGGACAGTGATGTTGACATGTCATGTGTTGAAAATGGCCGTATATGGGAATGTCTGCTTTTCCATGTGAAACGGGGATTCGTGTACTTGATACTTTGTTGTTCTGAACAAGACTGTCAAGACCCGTTTCTATGCGCCCATAGCCGGCCCGACGTCGCTCCTCCACCACTACACCTACATGTACACTCCAAGATGCAACATGCATTGAAGCTTGTATACGACCAATTGACCCAATGGCCATCACCAACGTCGCTCTCATCGGCGGCACTGGCACCCTCGGCGCCCCCCTGCTGCGCGCCCTGCAAGCCTCGCAATTCACCGTCTTTGCACTCAACCGCCACAGCTCGCCCTCGGTCTACCCCAAAACAAACGTCATCACCATCCCCGACGACCTCAATGTCGACGGCGTGGCCGCAGCCCTGCGCGAGAAACACATTGACGCGCTCATCATGACCATTGCAGGCCGCCACGTCGACTCGCAAAAGAAGCTCATTGACGCCGCCTTCCAAGCCGGCGTCCAGCGCGTCATGCCCGCCGAATTCGGGAGCTGCGACTCGGCAGACGCAAAAACAAACAAAATCCTGCCGCTGATGCAGGGCAAAAAAGTCGTCCGCGACTACCTGCTCTCGCTGCAGGACAAGCGGGCCAGCGAGGCCATGCCCGCATTCACATGGACGAGTCTTGTCACGGGCCACTTTTTCGACTGGGGCCTTGTGCGCAGCTTGCTCAAGTTCGACGTCAAAGCCCGGAAGGCGTATTTGCTGGATGGTGGCGCCATCAAGTTTTCAGCATCAAATCTCGACTTTATCGCAAGCGCTGTCGTCCGGATCCTCGAGATGCCCGAGAAAACGGCGAATCGCCTGCTGTATGTACATAGCCTGCATGTGACGCAGAACCAGGTGCTCGAGGCGCTGGAAAAGGTTACGGGGGAGAGGTTTGAGAGGATTCAGCAGAGCAGCGAGGAGGAGCTGGAGAGGGAGCGGCCCAAGATGATGGCGGGGGATATGGAGGCGAGAGAGGAGGTTGTGGCTGTCTGGGGGGTTGTGGCGGCAGATTGGAAGGGGAAAGATGGGTTTGCGAATGAGATGCTGGGGTTGGAAGAGGAGAATCTGGAGGATGCTGTGCGGAGGGCTTTGGACGTCATCACGTAGTACCGACAAGCAATTTCTACACTACATGGAATTTTTCTTGCATCAAGTACACCATCCTTTAGTGTTTCTCGTAATCATTTCTCGTAATCATTATTGCAATAAAAACACTTGCATATTTTTCGCGTCATCGGCCTTGTGATAGGGTCGAACAATCTAAGAAGAGTCGGTGCTTGGGATCAAAGGCTTCAAGCAAGGTGAAGTGAATGTTTGGAAGGGCTTGGAATCACCTGCCAACACATAAGATTCCATATTGATTTATCAGCTTACTGTTGTACTCTTGGTAAATTCATTGCGAGATAACAGGTGCATCTGTACCTAACCCTTACATGTTCACATACCAAGTGCGAAAGCCGTCTACAAATACAATCCCACGTACTCAACCACCAAGACCCCACCGCTCTGCAAACGGGTCATGATCCGGATCCATCCAGCGGACATACTCTGCACAATCGGCCAACTCCTGCGCAATCTTCTCGCCATAGTTGAGCCCCACAAACGCATACGTCGCATCGATGCCCGCACTGATGCCTGAACCCGTGACGATATTCCCATCAACCACCCATCTGGCTTCGGAAACCCACTTGACATTGGGGCCCGTACTGGTAGCCCACGCAAACGCACGCTTGTTGGTGGTAGCGCGACGGCCATCGAGCACGCCTGCACGCGCGAGAATCGTAGCGCCGGTACAGACACACAGAATGGCCTTGAGACGGGGATAGATGGCGCGCACAAAGTCTATCTCGGCACTCATGTCGCCGCGGGTTCCCACGCCCCCGGGCACTATCAGCACGTCGATGGCGAGCGAGCTTTCTTCTTTTTCTTCCTCGCCACCGCCTTGAAGCTGCAGCTGCTCGGCAAACGTCCGGTTCACCATCATGCTCTGCGACACGTCCGTGTCTGGGTGCGAGTACATCATGTTTCCGGCTCTTTGATGCGAGGTTTCTACGGATCCGCTTGTTTTGGCCAGCATGGTCAGCTTGGTGGGGAAGCTGTAGAGCATCGAGAGCGAGTTGAAGACGTCGACGGGGCCGAAGACGTCGAGAGCCTGGAACCCGGGGAATAGCAGGACGCCATAGCGGATGGGTTTGGGGCCATTGGCGTCGAAGAAGGGCGGGTTGAGTGTTGGTGTTGCGGCGCTGGCGATGCCGTTGCCGTTGGGCACAGGGTGTTGGTGCGACGTGGTCATTGCTTGTACGTATGCAGGTTGTGTAAGTACAGTACTGTATGTAGGCGGGGTACCTTCTTTTGTTCTACAATTGCTGTCAGCCGCTACCACTCAGCCCCGATGAGATATTATGAGCGCTATCTCATGTCAGCTTGTCGGGTCGATGGTTATCCGCATGGTGGTCAGCCGCCACGGGTCTAGCTGGAGGCATTGCTAATGCTGAGCACGTTAGAGTGAATAAAGCCTGACACGTTACTTTCCGGTCGTCTTCACTCTTGAATGTAGACAGCGCCAGCTCTATTTGACGATGCATTATCAATAGAGATTCCCACTTCTATTCGAGTAAAAAAATATAATACCAGCTCTACATGGTCAAAGAGTGAAGGAAACGGGATTCATCCAGACAAAGAGACACGGCTTGTCCAGTACAACAACAGTGCTGCCTACACGCCAGTCTGCAGCACCAATCCAGTCTTGCAATCACACCCACCCAATCAGAACAATGGAGTCCAAATCTGAACTCGCATTCCATGGGTCTTTGTATCCAAAGCCCCAATCAGGCAAAAAACGAGTGAAAGCAGATTGATAACAAAGGGTCTTGGAAAAACCAGCCACTCTACTTTGCAACCGCAATTATTCACACACACACACAACACACATAGTTCAACATTACCTCGTATCTGCATCAATCAATACCACATACGGCTATACAAGTCGAGGAGCGCACGCACGACGTCAACGCCTCAATGCCCGAAGCGAAGCGTGGCGATGGACCAAAATCCCACGGTCTCGCGCGCGACAAAGTCGAGATCTGGAGGTATGTACATGATATTTCCTCACATCCTTTTCCTTGTCTTGTCTTGACCCAGCTCCCTCTCTCTCTCTCTCTCTCTCTCCCTCTCTCTCGCATTGTTCACGCAGACTAAGACGATTCAACAGAGAAAACATCAAGGACCTGCGCAACACGCCCGTTTTCCTGATTGAAAAATGGCCCTGCATGTACTGCCACCACGAGATTGAAATCGGCGGCCTAAAAGACTGCGCGTGGTTCCGCTGCCAGCAGGAGGCGTGTGTGGGGCGCGGAAAACTCCAAGTGACGTGTTTCTGGGACGTCAAGGGCGAGCGCGAGTGGGTTGATTAGGTGGGATTGTGTCGGTGTGTGTGTGTGAATGTCTCTCTTTTTTTTTCTGATGGTTCCGTCTCGTCGAGTAGGTGGTGATGGTGGTGGTGGTGCGGATACTGTACAAGTATTCGGCTTGTACTGGGATTGGGATGCAGCAATCTGTCTCTTCACGAGTAACAGGAAAGAAATAGTGATATCTTGATTAACGCACCTTTGGATAGGTTGGTCCGGGTCCCGCGTACCGTGGTTATTGACGGTGAGTCAAGCACTTAATCACTGTAGATAGAAAGGCACTTGCTGATTACCATTTATTTAATCTACTCTTCTACTCAGATTGTAGCAAAAAGAACTACAAATCTCCCTTATCTGCCTGGAACAGCATACAGTTCCATACTTATGCTGTCTCCACACTGTCACAAAAAAAAAGACAGCACTCACCCAACCGCCCATCTCACCATGGCAGACACCTCGTGCAAACTTCCCGCAACCCACATCCTACAAAACAGCTTCTCACCTGCCTTCCACCACGCCCTCGTCGCCAACCATGCGACCAACCACCCAGCAAATTTCCTGCAGCTGGTAGAATCCCAGGTGGAGCTCGTAACGGGCCTCGACATACACGGCACATGGCCCGACTCGATCGCGCATTTCCTGTGCGTCTTTGATACTGTGTTTAGCGAGCGCGCCAAGCAGCAGATTGTACAGAACATGCGTTGTTTTGAACAGACTTCCGACATGTCTGCTGATGCGCTGATTGGTCATCTGACGTTTAGTGGGTGGGTGCGGAGGCTCGTTGAGCAGATGGATCGGTGCGATGAAGTGGGGGCTGGGGCTGCGAAGATGAGCTTGGATGGAGGTACTAGAGGCTCTTTGATGCGAGGAAAGTGTAAGTGAAATGGCAAGGGCAGGGATAAGAAGAGCTGGGGGATGAGGGTGCCGTGTAGTTTGTCGAGGTGCTTTTGTATAAAGAAGAGTAAGTCGGTTGACTGAGCTTGGGGATTGGTAGGGTGTTAATGCAATAGAAGTTGTGGATGGCGCTTTGTTGGTAGAAATGACTATTCCGGAAGAGCAGTTAAGTGGTTTGGAAAGTAAGTGTTAGAGCCTCTGTGTGTGTAAGTAATAGCGGGAGATGATATTGTATGTGTGAATTCAAATACACTTCACATAACTATATCAGATATACAAGAGTCGCACAATACGATTAGCAGGCATTCGAATCGCACAACGAAAGCCTTTATGTTTGTATGTACATTCTACATCGCAGAGACAAGTATCCTTAGCACCAACATCTCACCTATCATTATCCCCATCAACCAGCACCACAGCCACAACCACACCTACAGCACCTCAACCCGCTCAACCCTCCTCTCCGCATCCAACACAACCCTCACCATCCTCCCCGCATCTTCAAAAAACCACTTGCGCAACTCATCCAGATAAATCTCATAACTCGGCATATACCCATCTATGAACTGTCTAACAGCCTCATCCGACATGCCCTGACCCCTCTCCTCAATCAACCTGTGCTCCTGCTCAGCACGCCACGCATACACATTGCGCAAGTCACTCGTGTCGATGTGGATGAAAAAGTGGAAATGGCGGGGCCCCATGAACGTGTCGCAGTAGCGTCTGAGATTCTCATTGACTTCGGCTAGGTGCGAGATGTCGTGCTGGGCGGGCGTGTTGACGGGTAGTTTGTGTTGCTGGGCCAGGGCGTGTTTTTGCTGCAGCGCGGATAGAGGTAGCGGTTGGAAACCCAGACACCAGCCCTCGAAGACGACGACGGCAGGCGCCTGGGATATAGTTGGCCATTGGGCTTCTGGGGCGCGGTCGCCCGCGCCGTTGAAGCGGCTCTTGTCGAAGCGGGGGATGCGCAGCGGGCGCTGGGTAGGCTGTGTGGCGTAGTTTTTTAGGTCTTGGAAGAATTTGGCGGCGAGCTGTTCGTCGTGGGTGCCCGGTTGGCCCCGCGTGCGATATAGCTTGTTATTTGCGTCTTTGTCGCGCCGCGCTACCAGGTCCTCGTGTGTCTTGTAGAAATCGTCCAGCGAGACAGTTACCGTGTATAAGCCGTGCTCGGTGGATAGCAGTTTGACGAGAGTAGATGCCCATGTGGATTTCCCGGACCCCTGGAGACCCGTGATGCCTAGGATGATGGGGTCGTGTGGCGCTTCTTGGTGTTGTTTTTTTATGCTGGGGAGGAGTTTGTCGAGGGTTTGGCGGATGTTGTCTTGGAGAGAGGACATGGCTGGGTGTAGATTGGAAGCTGGCCAATGTCTGTTTTTGTTTTCTGTTTCTCCTGAGAATTTAGCAATACACTCGGCATGTTCAGTCGCATAGTCCAGAGACGGCATGAAGCTATTGGATAGTCGTGACGATGGTCGGCCCGACACAACAGACCCCGCATTGGTTTCCACAGTGCATCCACATCCGTCCACACATCATCACCATGTATTACATAACCCATGTATGTCGAAGAATCAACAATGCTCAAAGCCAAACTGTCCCCAAATCTCACATCAGATCAACATGTCCCCTTCACCCCCCTGTCTTCAACGTCGCTTTTTCACTCGCTACCACTACCGCCAAACAAGCCGGCTTTTCCCCCCCACGCCACAGCCAATTTCCACTCGACGCCCAAAGGCACCCGCTTTGGCCCTCGCTACCGCAGTTGGATAAAACACGTCGCGGCGGGCGAGCAGAAGTAAGCCGAGCACAGTGCATGGAATTACTGTGTTTGGCAGGCAAAGGGCAAAAAGCGTGGATTCCAGCGTGCAATCCACGGTTCTGAGCGTCACAATCGGTGGGCCGCCGGCTCGTGTATGGTGAGTTTGGGGGGGCCCGCCAAGGCCGCGATATTGGTCCGTGATCAAACAGGCGTCCCAGAGGAAGAGGGAGACGAGACGGTGTTGGGCAAGTGGTGAGGCTTGCGCAGTGCGTGTCGGTCGGTGGGTGACGGAGGGGGAGGGGAGGGGCTATTTTTGGTATCGACTGCGAGGAGAAAAAGGGTCCGGTGCACGAGCCATGTTCCCTTGCTGTTCCTCCCCATGGCCTGCTCGACGACGCACACACAGATTCTACAACGGCAATGACAGGTATTCTGCGAACATGAAGCAAGCCTGTGCCGCTCCCCTCGGCGCCATGCATAAGCTTTACCAAGGCTGGAGCAGCGGTGAAATGCGCGCAGTGTCACCTGCGACTAACGTTGTAATTGCTACTAGGCGCATGTCAAAAAGCGACAAGTTCTGGTTCACAAACTTGGCGGGCGCACGTGTTGCCCGGCCAATTGCAGCTGTCCCTTCAGCTGGGCTGTGATACGTGGATATACATTCCAACACCACGCCTGGCCGATGAGCCAATAGAGTGTGGTAATACTACCACATCTACCTTTTGCGACTTGCAGTGGCGATTCATCTTCAGCTCTGACTGGCTGCTTTTCCGACCGTCGCCACCAGAGCCCATTGCAACCCACCAAAAACTAAGCTTCCAGTGCTCATTGGGCGGCTAGAATGCGGTGAGCAACACTGACACAGTGTGCTCGGGCGAGGGAAAAGACTACACTGAGACGAATCTGGATTCGAATACCGAAATCTCACACAATACTATATATTCAATCATGTCTATCGTGCTGTAAATGCTTCATGGCGTCTAATGCTGTCAAAAGCATGACGAAAGGGTATCTGCGCCTCTCCGAATGCTTTTGTTCAAAACGCCCGTGCAAATCTAAACAAAGAAAATAACCTGTCAAAACAAAAAAACTCCGCCGTGTCTAGGGCGAGAAACCGCTGAGGAAAGCTTCGAGTGAAGAGAGTTGAGATGGGCAGCAAATCTACAACTGGGTGGCAGTTGGACGTGGGTGACTCAAGGTCGATGGAGGAGTCAATGGAAAAACTCGCAGCACTTGCGAGTTGATGCACTGACTAGGACACAGCACTTTTCTTCTTCTCGCCAGTGCTCTCAGATCTTGGCGTGCTTCAGGATCTGGCTGTCTTGTTGAGCCTGCTGAAGCTTCAGGATCTCCCTCTGCTCTTGGAAGACCTGGCGGGCCCTTTCGAGAACCATCTCGAAGCCCTCCTTGCCCTTGGCAGCGTTCTGCTGGAAGCGCTCGACGGTGAACTGCTCAATGCTGTTCCTGATCTTCTGCCAGCCTCCGCACAGCGCCGTGATCTCAGCCCTCTGGGTAAAGGACGTCTTGTCATCGGGCGATGAGGCGGCAGGGCGGTAGATGCACGTTTCGCGTACGTTGAGGAGGTCCGACCATGTCATGTTCATGGCGCAGAGGGTGAGCTTCTTTGCGACGGGATCGACGTAGGACGTTTCATACACCATGGACGTGTCTTGGCCACCGAGGAGGCTTTGTATCCATTTGGGCGTCGACTGTCGGCAGGTGATGAGACGCTCTGTTCGCAGCTATCGCGTGTTAGCTGCATGCTCCCAATGGATGCCGACTGCCCCGCCTCGCGACTTTTCAGCCGCCGTGCTTTCCGGACGCGAAAAGAGTCACTTACAATTCCCGTGGCGGGATCGACGGCGCGACTGATGGTGTCGACGGCAATGACATGGGGCGTCTTCTCGTTCCACGGGCCGTACTTTTGCCAGTTGCTCGTCGAGACCTCCTCCCACGAGTAGTCAAAGTCGATGGTCTGCTGGAAGTACTTCATGCTGAGGTCGTGTGCCGGTGGCTAAGGTCGGCTATCTTTTTTTCCTGGGGGTATGCGCGGGCGGATGGCGCAGCGAGGGTGAGGTCGCGAGGGTGCGAGGATGGCGATGTGAATTTGACGAGGTCGGACGGGATTGATGTGGGCGTCAAGTGGGTTTATGGTGGGCTGGAGGATGTGAAGGGGCGCAAAAGGCGTGGGAGAGCGGTAAAACCAGGGAGCAGGCCGTGCGCGATAAACGATCGCCGGGGCAGGCGGGACGAGCGAGGTCAACGTTTTTTCACCGCCGAGGCGAGCTTCCTTGCAAGATCAGCGAATGTGTCGAGGCAATTATGCGCGGTCAGCAAGCAGCGAGAAAAAAAGAAAAGCGCCGTGGATACAGATGGGCATGAGAGTTGCGCCAGTGGTGCGGCAGAAAAACGAAGCCGGGGCCGCAGACCCTTCTGCCCGACGCGATGCCGGAGCATGGGCAAAATCTTCGCCACCGGCAGGGGCGGCTAGGCCGGATTGGGCCCATCACATGCAAGACGCTGACATTTGCCGGCTCGCGCCTGCCTGCGTCGTGTGCTCGAGTGGCCCATTCGACCCGGCTCTCCCCGCATGACGTCGCGCGGCCAATCAGCGCCCGCCTGTTGGTCGCCGCTGCCGCCAGAGCAACGCAGGGCGAGGGGTTCCTGACGCCGCCTTGACGTCTCGTATCCTGGGTGTTATCCTTAGCAAGGCACTGCAGCCACAGGAATGCATAGCAAAGCACATGACCTGGAATGCCATCGACCGACGGCATGCTGAATTTCTTCTACGACAACTCGTCAAACCATGCTCTACATGGTTGGTATCATAACTTTTGGTATGCGCGCCAGAACGCCAAAACAATGCATATGCAAAGTATAAGCAACCGCCGTTGCTTGGTCCAACTCCCATGCACTTACACCACGCACTTGCACTACGCACTTGCACTCCCACGCACCTACACTCACATGTCCAGTGCCTTCTTCGCCATGGCCAGAGCGCCCTCAAACGTCTGGTTGCCGCCAATGAAGCCCGCCGCGTGCACAAAGACACAGCCGGGAATGCCAGACACCTGGTCGAGCTGGTCGTCACGCACTCCCTTCCACGCGTCCGGGAGGTCCTTGCGGTTCTCGAAGCCGCCATTCTCCTTGCTCACGGCGCGGATGCGCCACTTGCCCTCGGGCTTGTCCTCCGGGAACAGCACGTAGAGCACCTGGGCGGCAACCCCCGCCGGCTGCGGCGTCTCCTTCTCCAGCGTGTACAGGTGGTCGGCCCATGGCATGCCCTCGGGAAGCACCAGGATGCGGCCCTGCGCGTCATGCTGCAGACGGCTGTCGTAGGCCTGCTTGACCTGGTGGCGCGCGGGGAGCCACGACTGGGCGCGGTCAGTGAGCTCGTAGCGGAACTGCTCGCCGACGAAGCGCGAGGCCGTCATGAAGCGCATGTCCTCTTCGGCCTGCTTGGCCTCGGGCGTCTTGGACTCGTCCGAGAGGGGCGACTTGGGGCCATAGTTGTAGCGGTTGACGACACTGGCGATGCTGAAGCCGCGGTCCTCAAACTTCTTCTCTAATCCCGCCTTTTCGAGGTCCTTGGGCGCAATGACGTTGATGCCGTTGTCGTTGGCGTCAAAGGCCTCGATGAAGTCGTTGTACATCTTCTCGTAGAGCAGGTCGCGGTCGGCGCCCTCGACGCCCGTGACGGCGGTGATGATGTCCTTGCCAAAGTGCATGTACACGAGCCCGGCCGACGAGAGCTTGGTGTGGTGGCCGGGGAAGACGACGTCGAAGCCGCGCTGGTGATGGTCGTAGCGGCGCTTGCTGTCGTCGTACTCGCCGCCCACGTCGACGACGGTGTGGCACTCGGCCAGCACGGCGGGGTCGCGGGTGCGCTTCAGCTCCGAGTCGCGGTAGGCAGGGAGGAGCTGGAGCATGGAAACCGCAAGGGCTTCGTCGGCATGGAAGTGGCCGCTGCAGAGCCAGAGTCAGTCTTGTGCTCGTGTTGTCGTCGTCGTCGTCGTCTGCAATGGCTTACTTGTGCGTGCCGATCAAGGGCGCATCCGTCTTGAGGCGCTTGGTGGGGGTTTCCGATGCCATTGTGCGGGTCAGTCTTGCAACGCGGCGGGGGGCTGGTCTGTATGTGCTTGGGATGATGGGCTTGATGGCGGATGCGGTGAGGAGCGGGCGGAGCTTGAGCATTCGCGGGGAGGGCCTGTTTACGTTTACTCTAGTTGGGTTGGCAAGGAGAAGGGTGCGGTGCAGGCATTTCGCCTCTGGCGCGGCGGGCGCTGGCTTGGCGTTGTTCGTTCTCTGCGGGCGCTAGTGGGGGGGTCGAGGGCAGCATGGCCCGGCTCGCACATGTCGCCATCCACCACCACAGCTGCGCCCGCAAACTACTACTACTGCTGCTGCTGCTGCTGCTGCTACTGCTACTCCTCCTACTACTGGCAACGCTGTTCCTCCGACTCTGCTTCTGCCGAGATGGCATAGTGCGCTGCTGATTGAGTAGCAATAAAAAAACGTGCCAGCCCAGGCGTGTGCCGTCTCGCTCCATCGCCCGGCTGCGCGCCCCCCAGGCTGCGCACGCGAGCACGCAGCTAGCCCGCCAATATACACGTCCACCGGCGGCCTGCTTTCTCCTCGCCTGCACACGTCAATCCATCGCAGACGGCCGCTTCAACGCCCTCACACTCTATCCAGCCCGCCTGCAGCTGCACCGGCTTCTCGTCGGCTCTTCTGCATTTCGCCCGCCACTCGGCCGCCGCAGTGGTCCTGTCCCGCCCGCAAAAGCTCGAGCCCTTGGCGAAATTGACACGTGAAGATAGTCGGTCGATAGCCACACACACTCACACCAACACGCATTGCCCGCTCCTCGCCGTCGACGCCTCCCGCTGTCTCGACGCCTCACCTCCAAGGGATCCCCCGACCTGCTCCTCGGCGCCCCCTGCGCGACCGCCGCGCTCGCCAACCGCCAGGCTCGTCACTGCACGAGCTTGGCGACGACGGCGTCAACCATGTGGGCTACCACCACCAGAGTCGTCTCGTCGACGACCTTTCTGGCCTCGATAATCTTCACCATCCCCCTCGCCTTCGACATTGGCGGCCGCACCTGTGGCCTGGCCTTTTCGCTCTCGCTCAGCGCATACTACTTTGCCTACTCCATCCTCCGCCTGGCCACGCCCGCCTCGTCACGCTTCCGCTGGTTCCTGTGCAACGTCGTCGCCTGGGCGCAATGGCTGGCAATACCCACGCTGCTCATCTGGTGCCTCAACAAGTTCTCCATTGACGCCACAAACAACTCGGGCTGGGTCGAACGCACCTTTGGCGGCAAGCGAGCCGACTTTGACAGCGTCCACGAGTGGATTTTTGGAACCGACGGCCTGCTGCAGAGCGTCTCCATTGGCGCCTGGGACAAGACGCTGAGGTACAGCACCCCCGTCTTCCAGGTAGCCGAGGGCTTCTGCAGCCTCTTGGTCATTCAGGCCGCCGGCCAAATCACCAGGTGGCTTGTGAACCGGGAGCGCGGCGACAGCTGGATGGTAAGACTCTGGGCCCTGCTTCGCGAGGTGGGCTAACATTTGCAGATTGGCCTGCTCATCACCTCGGCCTCCATCATCTCCACGTCCGTCTACTTTCTCTGGCGCATCACCACCTTTCCCGAGATTAACAACGTCGACGCCATTCTCATTGGTGTCGCCATAACCACGGCCATTTTTCTCGGTGGATGGGGCATTGTCAGTGCACGAGGCAATCCGGTCGAATCTTCTCTTTTGGTACGCTTGGTCTCGGATACCCCCCATTCTCCACTAACACGCATAGTTTGCCTATGTCACTCTGTGCATCTACCAAATCTTCACCGACTACCAGCCTTCTCCAGGCTCTCTGGCCGAGTCCAATGCTTCCTCAGAACCTGCTCTACCCCCACTACCCCCCATCATCATGGCTTCGTACACGACACTTCTCCACGCTCTCGGCTCTCTGCCCACCATTGCCCATACCGGCTTCAACCTCATGGTTGGTGCCATTATGACCATTACACCCTCGGTCATCATCTCCCTAGCCTACCGTGTCTTTGTCATGTATGCTGCCGCTCGCATCATACCAGCCATAAGAGAAAGCGGTGCTCGAGCACTCTCGCAAGAACCGAGTTTGGACGATGACGACGAGACATCCAAGATTCTGGGATTCTTGACTTGGTTTAGCCCAAGCATCATCATTGCCGTCTACACCAGTCTTCTAATGCAGCACTTTGCCAGCGGTAATGGTGGTGATGGAAGTGCCGCGACTGGCGAGTGGTGGACCAACCAGGGCGGGGATGCTGGGGGCAACTTTTGGAGATGGATCAACCTTGGCATTACCATGGGCCTTTATGCCATTGAACTCAAGATTTCAAATATTGATGACGATGGCCGGTTAACCAGCCATTGGAAGACGGACTAATCATGCAGTGGACAGGTCCAAGTTACATTGTTTGAGTTGACTTGAAGGAACTGGGAGGCTGGGTGGGGTAGGGAGCATGGAGGATTGAAAGAAGAAGGAGGAGAAGAAGTAATCCATGAAAGGCGTATGTAAAAGGAGGGTGGTTCATTTGGAACAAAGGAAGGGTGGCGGTTTATTCAATTCCTGTTGTTCTTTTCTTCTTCGTCTTTTTTTTTCTCTTCTTCTTCTTCTTCTTCTTCTCTTTTTCTTTCTCTTCATTTGTTCAACAAACATCTTCATCTTCATCATACACTACTAGCGCGCATTCTTCAGATACCCCAAATTTGGATTGTCTTGGGAAATTTGTATATTGTCATTATTACCATTGTACTATTGCAAGATATTTCTTCTTTTCCTCCTCCTCTTCTTCTTCTCTTCTTATTTTTTCTTCGACATCATACTCTTGACCTGGTGTGTATCAGTATTGTCCAACACACATGTTGAATGTTGTATTTTATGCATTTGTCTGAGTATTTAGAGTAGATGGATACGAGACGCATCTTCCCATACTACTACATGGAATGCAAAACCGTGCCATCTTACTGTAATACATGACTTGAGAAAAGAGGTACTAAAGATCAAGATGATGGGTAATGTAGTATATTGATAAACAAGAGTAGACTGGAACAGTGTTTTCAATCAAAGTAAATACAGTGACATGTGTGCAATTCGTATATATATCCCAGGAACAATATTCCTTTGCACTTGGCGCGAGGCTGTATTCCACACACACACACACACACAGGAAACATGGCACCTGATAGACGGAGCAAATGTGCTATGTAGTAACAAGGCATGCATGTCTTGGTGTGTGTGGCCATGTGTATGAGTGTGAAGGATTAGGTATTTCCAGCTCCATCTTTATTCTCCTCTTGTTCTTGTTATTATGAGATTGCATGTGGAGTAGATTCGACGACGGCATATACAAGGCTCATCAAGACATATCTCAAGACTCGACTCGACTAAAACCGTTTATCCAGTCCTTGATTGAAGGAGGAATTGACAAGAGAAAGGGAAGTATGATGATGTTAGATGCACACCTAATCATATAAGCATCAGATTATATTATGATCTGTGTTGTTGTACTACAGGTAAAATCAATGGAAGATGTAAGTAGGACAAGTCGGCAAGTAAGATCATAAGTTACGCTAACATTAGTATTTGCATGTTACATGTTGAAATCTCACAAGTCGTATTTAACGTGCTCTCCGTATTCGTATCCCCCCCCCCACACCCCGTATTCGCGCATCTCGTACATCGTACCTCGTACTTCGTATCGTGGCTATACCCATCTAGTCTCTCCTTTGTGTGCCTAGCCAGTCACAGCCAGAGCTGTAGTCACAGTCGTATGCACAGTCGTAGTCGTAGTCGTAGTCGTCGTAGTCACAGCTATAATCCGTATTAGGACTGCATAGTACGCGACTTTGTATGTACATATACATTACATTACAAGACAACAACCGACTAGATACTATAGGATAATTACTAAACGATTCTTCAAGTGATTATTAAACAGTAATATACTAGATGCTACAGGGATATAAGTAATACAGATGGATATACTGATACAGGATATATATATATGTAGAGTGCAGAGAGGATACGGATACTACGAGTGTCATGTTCAGACATGTACGAATATGAGCGGGAGTAGGAGTAAGAAGCAAGGATGGGAATAAAGAAGTAGGAATAAGAACAAGAGTAGAATAGAGTAGAGTACATAGTACATGACTCGACGAGGAGACTCAACTATCTACCTCGGTAAAAAAAAAACTATACCTATACCTATGCTCTCTCTCTCTCTCGCTCTGTCAGTCAGTCAGTCAGTCAGGCAGTCAGTCAGTCAGTCAGTCTGACAGCACGTGTCAAGGGCAGTGTTAATTTCAATTCTTCCATCTGAGGAGTGACGTAGTCTGACGTAGTCTTACAACCATCTGTGACCCAAAACGTCATTTCCAATACCCCCCCCCCCTTCCCCCCTATGGGAAAAGGAGACAGAAAGAAAGCACGGTACGACGTCATATGCTTATTGTTGATGCTTCCCGTATGATAACTCAGGCTACATTACTCATGGAACGTGCATCAGAGAGACCCCCCCCCAATTTCTAACCGAAGCGAATCAAACCAAAAACAACGCCACATGTAAGCCGAAACGGCCATGCGACGGGATTAAACGAGTCTAGACAAGTACCGGGACCCAAGGCGTGTGTGTAAGATGGAGATAAGGTTTATGGATATTAGCGGGTGCTTATCAAACCATGTCTGTATGTGAGTAAGAAAGAAGCTTACTACAGTACAGCCGTGGTCAAACTAACTATATTTAGGGCCTATGGGGAAAAAAAGAGAGAAGGGCGGATAGAGGGGAAGCGGCAGAGGGGGAGAGGAGGAAGAATGTTACGGTTTGGTGTAACCCAATCACCGCATATCCCAGCATGGCAAGTATTGAAGTACGCATGGAGTAAGGAACATGGAGGAGAAGGCGGCTCCGTCCGCCGCCTCTCACTGGCTCGCTGTGTCTGCTCGCTTGCTCGGACATGGCGTGAACCGGTGGTCATGGGGCACGTCTGGTCGGCGACCCATCACCTGCTTCCATGTTCCATGTTCCATGTCTGTTGGTACGTACGTACGCCAACGTAGGTAGATTGCCTGTTAGTGTGTAGCTACTGACGGCAGTAGAGAGAGTCACCGTGACCATATCATGGCACGAGGCGACGGGTAGAGAAATCATGGACGGGAAGCCCTTGCAAGAATCGGTTCGCTTCTAGTCGGAATCTTGGCCGGACCTTGGCTGCTTGATCGCTCGGCACATGTGTCCATGTAGTCATAGCAGTATGCCGTGCGGACGCCGGTGCGGCCGCGGGCGGGCGGCAGGTGTGCAGCTTGTGAAACCCTAGCCGCCTGGGCAAGCGCTTACCAGAGACCACGAGGAGAGCCAGGGCGCGTACGAAACGTCGTCGAAGCTTTTTTAGAATACCAGGTGGTTTGCTGTTGCATGTGTAACATGTTTTGAATCGCCCAGTCGATCAACCAGAGCAATGCATTCCCATTGCACAGTGGCCGACGACGCATGGCCTGGCAGGGTGTGTAGAGGGCGAGATAGCAGGCGAGCAGGACCCTTGCTTTTTTTAAGAATACAAAGCAAAAGGCGAACGCTTCATTACCCACTGTAACGTCAGCAGCAAGGGCGGATTTCGGCCTTATATCGCCGCATCACTTCGTATCATGTTGCAGCACATCGGGTTGGGCTTTTTTTGGACGTCGTCCGTGATTACCGCACTAAAAAGCACAGTCGTTCGGAGCACTTGTCTAGCCATTGAAACAAATGGTATTGTAGGCAGGTGAGGGGTGGACGCGCCCACAGAGTGTTCAGTCTTTGGGTATTTTCCAACCTGGGCGAGACGTGACGTGGGTTAGCAGAATGGTTTCGGCAAGCCATGGGCACAGCAGCATCCTTTGAGCAGGACAGGAGCAGAGAGCCATGAATGACGACAGACGGTAGAGTGTCTGTGTGGGGACCACGGGCAAAGACGATGCTCCAGGCTCCGGTCCTTTCTAGGTAACTCGTTGACCTTGTGTGGAGACGGATGGAGGCAGAAAGCTTGTGATGTTGTGCAGGCAACGAATCGAGTATAGCACACTGCACGAGAAGGTGGACCACGCCTGGATAATGCCGCAGTGTTTTGCCGAGGGGGGGAATCCTTCAGCTAGTTATCGGTCAAGGCGACGTGCAAGGCTGGAGGGAGCCATGGTGGGCGTCGGCATTTGAAGGGGGGTTGTTTGGGCCGTAGTGGGGGCTGGCGCGCCGGGTGTCTTTTGCTGTTGTGTGTGTATGTTGGTATGTACCATGTAGTATGTGTGTGTGTGTGTGCGTGTGTGGCATGCGAGGGCAGCGGGAGCAATGGGGAGGCTCCTGACAAAAGCGAAGCCTGAACACGGACACACAATTGTCAAAGGGCGGGTGTTGTGTGTATGTATAAAGCACTGTGCAGCGTGGATGACGTGGTGGGATGCGTCGTCTTGGACACGGAAGGGCATGCTCCATAAGCGATGGAGGTCAGGACGGCATGTTGCGGCGGACGTGAACGTTTGCGACGACAAGCGCGTAGTTTCCGCGCTTCCCGTTCGCTACTCGAGTCAGCGGACGGAAGGATGTGGCGGAAGGCCGAGCTAGACGGCCGTGTGCTGACTGAGCCCCAAAGCAAGGGGCAGGCCCGTCTGGGAATCCGGCGCATTGGAATCTGAGCTGCAGAGCAAAGGAGACGACGCGGTGCGGTGCGGTGCGGTGCGGTGCGGTGCGGCGCAGTCGGCCTTGTCCAAGTCATGGCTAGCGGGAACGGAACGCGCCGCAGGCACCAAGGAAACGGGCTGCTGGGATGAGGTTGCGATGTGTATGAGTATGAGCACGGCTGTGTGAGTGAGTGAGTGAGTGCGTGTGCGTGTGGCTCTGTGTGCGTGAGTGTGTTGTCTGTGGACAAGTCACGGCCAGGCGAGTGAGGCGCCCGACAAACGGCCGCGCTTAACTGGGGGCGCTGGCCAGGGCGTGGAGGAGCGGCGACGAGGGGCGTCGGGGGGCGAGTGATTGGGCAGCGGCGAGCACACTCGTCTAGCAGAGGCGCAGCGAGTCAGCCCGTTACCGCGTGCGAGGCCTACGCTTGTCAGGCGCTCTCACTAGCCGAGGGCAATGCGCCGTGGTGGGCTTTTTTTCTTTTCTGTCTGGCGCGCGGGTTCCTGGGGTGCAAACTTTGCATGAGCCTGTCGTCTGGCTGGAGACGGGCCGCGCAGCCAACCATGGCCCGCCCGACGAGTCACTGGGCATGAGTCGATGCTGCTGCTGCTGCTGATGCTGATGACGATGCTGATGACGATGCTGAAGATGGAGATGCTGCTGCGAAGAGGAAGGAGATGGAGATGAAGACGGTGGTGATGGCGCTGGGCGGGCGCGTGTGCGTGTGCGTGCGTGCGTGCGTGTGCATGTCGCAGTGGGCGTCGAGGGGGATAGATGAAGGCCATGAGCGCCTTCTTGTTTGGTGCTGGGCCAGGCCTCGACACAGGCGGCTAGGACGAGGCAGTGCCGCTCGCCCACCCCCAGCACCAGCCCTCTAACCCTACCACGACGACTGCCCTACCACTCACTGCCCTACCGCCGACAGCATACAGTATAGCAGCAGGCCGTGGAAGCGCGCGGGACGCTGGGCGATACGCAGGCACAGGCACCACCACCACCACCACTACCACCACCGCCAGCCCCGGCACTGGCCCCCGCGACGTATCTGGTGACGAGGCAGAGACAAGAGGCAGACGGCCAGGTGATTTGCAGGCCGTTGGTTGGGCTGCCCTCTCTCTCTCTCTCTCTCGCTTCTCGTCGTGCTGCGCACTCCCACTCGCTCTCCCGCCCTCTCGCTCTCGCTCTCGCTCTCACACGCCCACGCCCACGCTCCCACCCTGGCAGCTCCAGCTCCAGCGGCGGCGGCGGCGGCGGCGGGTCATGTGAGCGTTGTCCGCGGCTACGCGGTATTGTCGCGCGTTTGAGCCCCGCCCACACCCTCGCCGGCGCCCGCCAATCAGCGCCGCCCAGGCGTCGAGTGTGCGGGTTCCGCGTTGGCCTGCATGCGTCTAACGGCTTTGGGTCGATCAACCTCGCATGCCACCACGCCGGGAGCGCTCGTCGCACGCAGCCGTCTGTGCCACCCTGGGGCCCTCTCCGCCCTCTCTACCCTCCTCTACACCCAGGAAACGGCTGTAGGGCTGTAGACGCGACTTTTCCGCCAAAAAAACGTGGGAGAGGCCACAATGCAGGGTCTATAATACAGATAGTCGAAGGAACCGCGTCTCTGGCCCCTCGCTGTCCCCAGAGCTGCTCGTCTCCTGCGAGCCCGGGTGGGCAGATAAACGCGGGGGGCAGGGGCCGCTGCACCTCGGCCCAATCGCAGCTCGCCGACCGGGGTGCGTGCCTCCCGCCATGTCCACTCCGTCCACCCCCCATGTCGCCGCCAGCAGCAGAAGGAGCGAACAGCCGCCCTCTGTTGGAAGCCTGCTGCTCATCCGCTGGCAGGAGCGTCTGCCGTCGGGTCGCCCCTCCCACATTCGTCTCGCGCCTTATACACTTCGTCCCGCCATGGAAGCCGCGCTCCAGCTCCTGCGGCACTGCTAGCACCCCCTTCCATCTTTCACATCTACACCATCCTCCACGCCCACCTCCACATCTACACACCCACCTCTACATTCACGCCCATCCTCCCGCCATCCTCACCACGGCCGCCCGCCCGCCTGCCTTCCTGCCTGCCTGCCTGCCTGCATCGCCATCGCCATCGCCGCTGCCGCCATCCCCATCTCCATCGCCTTGCCACAGCTGCCTAACCGGTGCCTGGCCACTGAGAATCACCAAAAGACCGCATCCGTTTCCGTCTTGCATTGCTCCCTTCTGCTACCCGTAGGCGCAAAAAAAAGGACCACCCGCACTGCATCGTGCAACAGGACACACACAGTCCCTGCCCACCCCCCAGGCCCCCGCCCCCAGAGCGAGCGTATCATGGTCACTGGACGTCTTGGGTGCCTTCCATAGTAGTCTTTCGCCGTCTGGAAACTTGGCCAGGTTCCTAGGCCTTTTTTTTTCTTAGCATTGCGCCTTGGATATGTCGACCGTGCTGCATATGCCTACCTTCAACACAGCTCCCCATGGGCCTGCATTTACGTCCGTCAATGGACCGTCGTCTCTGAGCCCTACCACCGAACAAAAACCACCCATTGTTGCCAAATCCTCCACCTGGAGTCCGGCTTCGCGAGGCCCGGACACCAGCTACCATTCACCAAGAAGTGACACCAGCCCCTCGACCATCAGCAGCCGAGACAGGTCCCCTGAAATCGTCAACAAGAGAAGGCGGTCGGCGTCTGAAGAAGACTGCGTCGCCCGCCGCAGCCCAGGCGAGGTGGCCGCCGCCTCGCGCCAACTCCCTCACCCCTACCAGTCCATGGGCCGCGACACGCTCCCCAGCATGGATGCGCCCCAGCAGCCCAGTCTGCCGCCTTTGGGCCGCCCAGACGCTGAGCGACGTTGGCAAACCGAGCCTCGTGAACTGCCTCACTCCGCCCACCAGCACTTTGACCACCGGGAGCCCCGCCCTGTTGAGTCTGCCCGCACCACCATGTCCTCAGACTCGCATGCACACATCGGCAGTAGTGCAGGCGAAGCTGAGCTGGATGAAACAAGCACAACCGAAGTTACCCGCGCCGGCGTTCAGGTAGAACTAAAGAAGCGCAAGAGGGTAAGCGAATCGACTCATCTGCGGATCTAGCTGACGCATGGTAGCAATTTGCCAACCGCACCAAAACTGGTTGTGGTACTTGCAGGAGGCGCAAGAAGAAGTGCGATGAAGCCAAACCCGAGTGTTAGTCACGACCATTTCAAGTGTCGATCTGATGGTTGAACAATCTAATCCGCTCTACAGGCAACAACTGCACTCGAGGCGGCTTCGTCTGCGAGGGCTATGCCAACAAGATTCCGTGGACCAAGAATGGCCCTGCCAAAGCCCCGCCTGCCCTGCAAGCCAAGGAGAGGCTCTCTGCCATACCAACCTGTCCCGGCTGCACTCGCCCTCATATACCACACTGCCCGCCACCCGCCAATGAAGCTTCTTACCCACCACCAGACATTCGTTCCGCAAGTGGGCCGGATCGCAAACCTTGGAGTAGCTGGCCCGAGCCGACGCCGCCGCCGCCGCCCCCACCAGTTCGAGCGCCTTACCCGCCCGAGGCTCCACGACCAGCTCCTGTCCAGTATTCGCAGCCTCCGACAAATCAGCACGAGAGACACCTCAGCCAGGAGCATCAAGTACCTCCGCCACCGCCACCGCCGCAGCAACCGCTCCATCAGCATAATTCCCGTGTTTATCACCATGGCTCACACAGCATGAGCCACATCCCAACCAGCAGTCCTGCTCCGGCTCCGGCTCCAGCACCTGCACCTGTCATGTAAGTGATTATCGGGTTCCTAGTCCTGCAAGAGGCTTGTTGATCGATACGGACAACGAGCTCAAGTTCCAATGCACGTGTGAACTGGTCAGCTGACATGATCCAGGGCTTCCAAGGCAGTTGCACAGCAACCGCAGCAACAACATCATGTGGCACATCCGCATCTTCGCCCCCCTCCGCCACTGCCCACTACTATACCCCCCGCGCGCTCGCCAGTGCGCTTCCCATCAACTTCGTTCATGTACAAGTCGGAAAAAGACAAGATGCTCGCAGGGGAGCCCTTTCTCCCTTTTGACAGAATCTTGATTGATGAACGCCAGCAATGCATGGGAGCCCAACAGAACTTCAACAACACTGCATTTGCTTCGAATCAGTTCTCAAAGCAGACTCGAGAGGGCCTTTTCAAGACGATACTTGCAGCTAGATGGATCCCGCCCCGAAAGGACGCCAACGATGTCATTAGCCACTTGGGCAGTAATGTTCACGTTGCTGCTCCGTTTACCTGCGACTACGGCTACCATCTGAACATTGCCGACGATGTAGTCATTGGTTCCGACTGCCACCTCCATGATTCTGCGAGGATCTGCATTGGGAGGAACACCAAGATTGGAGTCCGAGTGACAATACAGACACTCAAGACGCCAACCGACAACAAGTCGTTGAAGGGCAGCAACGGAACCGAGATTGCCCAGGAGGTGCACATTGGGGAAAATGTCTACATTGGCGACAACTGTGTGATTGAGGCTGGTGTCAAGATTGGTGAAAACACCATTGTGCGCCCTGGCTCGGTCGTCTCTCACGTATGTTCCACCCCCCTAATATGTAATATGACTAGGCCTACATGCTGACCTCGACAGACATTGCCGCCAAACTGCGTAGCTCAAGGGAACCCTGCCAACATACTACCCAACTGAGCATGATTAGTAGAACAACAGCGCAAGGTTCTCGCCTGCTTGGCTGAGCACTCGCCTCGTACTGTAAAAACGCTGAACACTCAGCACATCTTATATGGGACTTGTCTGTCACATTACGCACCGCCATGTGTTGCCTGGAGTTTGGGCGTTTCATGACCCGGAGGATACCCATTGCTAAGCTTTTTTGCCTTTTGTTTCGGTCTATGAGAGATGTGGAGTGAAGATAGTATATAGTTTGATCAATGGGCGGTATCTGGCTTGTATAGTCTGCTGTTGTATCTTGGTACTACGCCTGCAGGACATGGCATTGCCCTCAGAAAACCACAAAATATAACGTTTCCTAACGCCTTGCACAAGCGCTCCATGTGCATCGTGGGTGAAGCTTCACGTGTGGATGTGGCCCGTGCTCGCTCAGAGGTCCCGGATTTGCAAAATGTCCGCGGCCAACATGACGCTGCTACGATACACAATGCCGCCCAGAGTACCGCTCAATTGGGGGCTCCCGCCTCCAAGCCTCCTCTTCCCGTCATCAGCGCGATGTCTCGTCCAGCAAAATGCCCAAGTACCACGGCCAGCAGTCGCATACACGCCGATGCGCGGCATCAAGTCGACCTTCAAGCCTAAGCCCGATCGATTCGCACACCACCCCGCAAAGACGGCGCTGAACAGCACCTCGACGGCGGCGCTCGAGCGCAAAGCACACAGCACGCCGCTGCGAACAGGGCTGCTCGCCATCAAAAAGGGCATGACGTCTGTCTACGACGAGGAAACCGGCAAGCGGGCCGCCTGCACGGTGCTCCAACTCGACCGGAACCAAGTGATAGCGCACAAGCGACGCGAAATAAACGGCTACTGGGCGGTGCAAATGGGAGCCGGCCAGAAGGAAGCCCGCAATGTCACACGGCCCATGCTAGGCCATTTTGCGGGCGCAGGCGTCGGCCCAAAGCGGTGGGTGGCAGAGTTCAAGGTGCTCGATGAGGCGGGGCTGCAGCTCGGCGTTGGCCAGATGGTCGGGGCAAACTGGTTTACGGTTGGTCAGTGGGTGGATGTCCGGGCGATAAGTAGGGGTATGGGATTTGCGGGTGTAAGTCCTGATATATATATATATATATATATATATCTATATATATCCCTCGTGGATGATATTGCAAGAGAGAGAAGGAGAGAGAGAAAGAACAAGACTGACATCTCGCAATATTAGGGCATGAAACGACATGGTTTTGGCGGACAACCCGCTTCTCACGGTCAATCGCTCATGCACCGCGGTATGGGTTCCGCAGGAGGTTCGCAAGGCTCTGGTTCGCGCGTCCTGCCTGGCAAGCGCATGCCGGGGAACATGGGCAATGAGAGTGTGACGGTCAAGAACCTCAAGGTGCTGCAGGTTGACGAGGCGAATGGAATCGTCGTTGTAAGCGGTACGCAGCCTGCGAAGTCATGCGAGCATGATAGGAATGGTTGACTAACGCATCTGATACAGGAGCTGTGCCTGGCCCCAAGAACCAGATGATCCGCGTCCAAGATGCGCGCGGCAAGCCCTGGCCAGAGGGCCCCATGACGACGGCGGAACTCGCTCCCCCACACGTCTTGGGTACTGCTGCTGTCTCTGATGCTGCTGAAGCGGCTGCGAGTGCGTAGGGGGAATGGGGGCTGTGAGAGGGGGAAAAGGCAAACTACAATGGCATATCACATGATTAGGATGAAGAGTGATTGTGATTGGGCTTTTTCTTGATTTGAAACCAGCATGCGTTGTGTGGTGGGAATGTGTATATGATATTGTAAAACAGCGTAGCATATCATGGCATACAAGTAAAAGGGGTGCTAGTACGCAGTCAGTCAGTTCATGGCTCTAGTCCAGTCATGAAAGCAGCAAGTCATGAGTCCAACAATCAAGCTCGTCAGTTTTAAAAAAAAACACACATTCTGACATGAACAATTCGTGACGATTCAAACATGGCCTCATTACATCCATCCATCCATTCATCCATCAATAACAGACATAGATACATGCATGGATGCATACACACACATTACTCAATACCCATAACGCGCAAACCCCGGCCTATAACCCCGATGTATAGTAGTTCGGTACCCATGAAACGGCCTTGGATCCTCGTGCACATGGCTCCTGGGATCGTAGCTGTCATCGTCGTCGCTAGAAAGATAGTCGCTGCCCTCGCCCACTCCATTATCATCGTCATCGCTATAAGCGTATTTGGCGCGACCACCACCACCACCCCGACGATCACGCTCACGCTCATGCTCATCTTCGTCGTCGTCGTCGTCATCATCATCGCTAAATCTCGCATGCCGATGCCGCCGATGCCTAGCTTCCGTCTCCGATTCGTCGCTAGGAAGGTAATCGCTTCCCTCGCCGAGGCCATTGTCGTCTGTGTCGCTGCTGCCGGCACCCCGTCCGCTTTTCAGCCTCAGTCGCGCAGGCACGCTTCTGCTGCGGCCGGAATCCTGGCTGCGGTCGCGGACGCGCAGGAGTCGCGGACGTCGTGAGATGGGCGAGCGCGAGGCATACGAGCGCGCGGTCGACGGGACGCGAGATGCACCACCGGACAAAGATTCGCTGCGGTATGAGGCCGTGTCCGAGTACGCGGGCCCAGGTGGTTTGAGGTATGCGGATTCTGGAGGATGCGAGAAGCCTGCTTCGTAGATGTCGCGGCGGCTCTGGCGCAGCGGCAGATAGCGTGTGCGGCGGCGGCGCTCGGGCGAGCCTTCCTGTTGATATGCTGCTGCGCTGTCGCTGTCGCTGTCGTCGCTGTGGTACTCGGCGGACGAGTGGCTGGAACGTCGCGGCTTGTGCTGGACATCAAGGGCGCGGAAGCGTTCGAGGAATTCGCGTGCTTCTGCAAAGTTGTCGAGTTCATGGGGTTTGAGACTGCGGCGGCGGGGTGGCAGCGGTGCATGATCCCAGCGCGAGGGACTGTCGGGTTGCGGTTGGGGGGCCTCGGGTTGGGGTTGAGGAGGCTTGGGTTGAGAGAGCGTCTTTTCCATGGCTCGGAAGCGTTTGAGAAATTCTTGGGCTTCTCGCAATTTCTCCAGCTCGTGCGGCTTGAGGCTGCGGCGGCGAGGCGGAAGCGGCGCCTGGTCCCAGCGGCTGGGCTGGGCGACTGGGCGCTGCGGTTGTGGTGGCTCTGGGGGTGGTGGGGTGCGGGCGCGGGCGCGGTCGTGTTCTCGGAACTGTCTGAGGAGCTCTTGTGCCTCTTTGAGGTGTTCCAGCTCGTGAGGCTTCAGACCACGGCGAGGCGGCGAGGCGGGAGCATCCCAGCGTTTGGGCTGGGTGACTTTGGGTTCGGCTGGCTGGGGCTGGGACAGCTTCTTCTGAATGGCTCGAAAGCGCTCGAGAAACTCCTGTGCTTCTCGCAGGTTCTCCAGCTCATGGGGTTTCAGACTGCGGCGGCGAGGAGAACGGCGGCGGGGAGAATGGCGGCGTGGGGACGAAGGCGCGTCCCAGCGCTTGGGGCGAGAGACGTGGCGCTGGAGTGGCTTGGGGGATGGCGGAGTGGCATCGTTCCTGGAAGACGAGCGTTTTCTCGAAGGAGAGCGTCGTGGGGGAGATGCGGGTGCGTCCCAGCGCCTGTGGCGGGAGACTGGTCGTTGCAGTGGTTTTGGAGAGGGCGGCGTGACTTCGGGGGTTGGAGCGACATCGGGCGGCGGCGGGGGAGGGCTGTCCTGAACTGCGGCAGAGGGGGAATTTGAAGGCGAGCGTTTTGCAGCTGAGGGAGAGCGTCTTGGAGCTGAAGGCGAGCGTCGTGAAGCAGCCGGCTTCGAACGCGAGCGTCGTCTGGAGATGGAGCGCGGGACCGAGGCGGGGCGGTGAGGCGGTGAGCTGTCGGGGGCGCTGCCGCTGGTGTAGTCGGGCGTGTCGTCGTCGACAAAGGCGCCCGGCATGCTCTTGGCCGGAGTAGCAATGTAGTCATCTTCGGTTTGTACCGAGTCCGCAATGTAGTCTTGATCTGAGCCAGGGGAGGAGGTCCGGTGGCGCGGTCGGGCAGGCCACCGTGGGCGATAGCCAGGCTGATATGGCGACGACGTCAAGCCGGCCTTGTCCCTGCTTTCCGCGGGGCTGGACGAGGCAGCCATGGACGAGTAGTGGTGGCTGTGGCTGTGGTCGTGGTCGTGGTCGTAGCCCCGAGGCCTGGGAGGTTCCGGACGGTGGTGTTGGCGGTACTGGTGCTGGTGGTGCTGGGGGTGCTGATGCCGCGGGCTGATGTACTCGTCGGCGTCGTCGTGGTCGGGCTCCGCAATGTAGTCGGATGACGCCCACGGTGCATGGCGGGCGTCATGAGATGCATGGCCGCGGCCGCGGTGGGCGCGAGGATATTGGCGGGTGGTGTACTTTTGATGCGACATGTGGTGGTTTGCGGCTGCATCCAAGGCCGTGGGATGACGTTGTGGCTGGTGATTGGGTCGAGATGCCTTCATTTCGCTGCTGCTAGGCGGCGGGCAGGGGGCGTGACCATGCACAGACACGTGGTAGGGGTCTACCCGAACGCACGCCCGCTTGGCATTCCACTCCGCTACACCAGTGTTACAGTATACACCACACATCCCGTGACATTCCGGCCACGCCCGCCCTTCCAGAACACATGCATGCCCGCATCTCTCTGTCCATCTATCGTCCATCTATCGTCCATCTATCTACTACCGCCATGGCCACAGTTGTTCCGCAGCCCCTGGCCACATCCACCACCTCCACCACACGCCACAGATATACACACAGATACACTACCACGCCCAAGACATCGCATCCCCCGCAGCGGCCCTGCTCGTCTTCAATTCCTCCTCTTACGTGCCGGCCAAGCAATCAACCATGGACAGACTGCCCCGTTTCGCCCATCCTGGCGCCAAATCTCTGGCCCCCTATCCCACCTATCGGAGAAATGCGCCTGCAACACAATCCCATGTGGCTGTTTGTATCCAGGCAGTGTCCACAAAACATGTCCCTCATCTTAAGCTTAATCTACCCTCTCTTGGCGGGCCTTGACTCATGTGGAGCCACTGCCGGCCCCGTCCTGTCCCAGCTGAAACACCAGGAGCCAGACGGCACACACTAGCCTATTCGGCCTCTATATCCACCACGCCGCGTTTGTAAACATTGCCCTGCCGCCTCGGCAGAATGCGCCAGTTCCACTCCGCCTGCCCTCGCTCTCTGTACATCTTCGGGTCTGGGCGTCTCCAAGCAGCCGTCCCCCTCATGCCGAGCAATGCCCGGCAGCCTCAAGGCACGGCTGGCAACTTGCGACGGCCTATCGAGATGCGGATCCCAGGGCACTCTAGCGCCCCCAGTGTCCCGTCGAAGGATCATATCTCATATTAGACGGTGGGGCATGATCCCATCCCATTGCTCCCAAACATGTCCACTGCTATAAAGATGTCTCTCCAGCCAGAGCATCAGGATCCATCACTCCGCCTTGTCCTTCACTTTGTCTCTGCATCTTCCTTCTCGTCGTCCCTTGTAGCAAACTGCGTTTGCTGTTCTTTCTTTTCCACTTTTTGAACCATCCACTCTCCAACAATGAAGTACTCTCTCTTCACTGCCATTGCGGCAGCCTTTGCCACCACCGTTAGCGCTGCCGACGGTGTCAAGGGCGCTGCTGAAGGTTTCGCCAAGGGTAGGTTGGCACTTCTTGACCTCCAAACCAGCTTACTGACACGCATCAGGCGTGACTGGTGGTGGCAACGCCGCTCCCGTCTACCCCAAGACCAACGCCGAGCTGGTCAGCTACCTCGGCGACTCGCAGGCCCGCACCATTGTCCTCACAAAGACCTTTGACTTCACTGGCACCGAGGGCAAGGTCACGTCGTCTGGATGCCGTCCCTGGGGCACCGGCTCGGGATGCCAGATTGCCATCAACAAGGACAACTGGTGTGTCAACTACCAGCCCAACGCGCCCAAGGTCAACAGCATCACCTACGACAAGGCTGGTGTGCTTGGTATCACCGTCGGCTCCAACAAGTCCTTGATTGGCCAGGGCTCCAAGGGTGTCATCAAGGGAAAGGGTATCCGCATGGTCAGCAACGTCAAGAACATCATCATCCAAAACGTCCGCTTCACCGACATCAATGCTCAATTCGTCTGGGGTGGTGATGCCATCACCGTCGACGGCGGTAAGTCATGACCCCTATTCCCAAACTGTCGACATTTGTCTAATCACATGACTACAGCCGACATGATCTGGATCGATCACTGCACCACCGACCTCATTGGCCGCCAGCACATTGTCCTCGGTAACAGCGCTTGCGGCCGTGTCAGCATCACCAACAACGAGATCAACGGCGCCTCTGCCTGGTCCGCCACCTGCGACAGCCACCACTACTGGGGCCTGTACTTCACCGGCAGCAACGACCTCGTCACCCTCAAGGGCAACTACATCCACCACACCTCTGGCCGCTCGCCCAAGGTCGCCGGCAACACGCTCCTCCACGCCGTCAACAACTACTTTTACGCCAACTCTGGCCACGCCTTCGAGGCCGACCAGGGCGCCAAGATTGTCCTCGAGGGCAACATCTTCCAGGACGTCAAGGCCGCTGCTCAGTCTGGTCTCCCCGGCAAGTTCTTTGCCTCGACTGGCAACAACGGCGCTTGCAAGTCTTACCTCGGCCACGACTGCCAGCCCAACTCCTACAGCAACTCGGGAAGCATGTCCGGCTCTGACACCAGCATTCTCTCTGGCTTCTCTGGCAAGAACGTCGCTTCTGCTGGTGCTGCTTCCACTGCCCAGACGCTCAAGAACAGCGCTGGTTACGGAAGGATCTAAGCTACATGGCTAGCTTGTCTACATAGTCCTGGGGACCTCTTGGCGCATCACTATGCGAGAGTGCTGATTGTTATTTTCTTCTGTATATACTATCCTTCTTACCCGTACATATTTGCTATTTGAGCTATCTTTGCACCCAACACTTGTGTTTTATGAGTGATGATGTATACGTGACTGACTGGAGATTGTGTTGTCTGATTGTGCTGTGCTCTCTTCAAGAGCAAAGTAGCAGCAAAATGTTGATCAGTACACGTTAGGAAAGGTTGGCTAGGGTCTTCGAGTCCCATGGTTCCTGATGCTAGGCGAACAGAGCAGTGCAGTACAACACCATCAACCGTATTAGCTCCAACGAACTTCATCATTGTGATCTGTATCAACTAGCCAGCAGGTTGCTCGTCTTCAAGGGAAGATGGATATTTTCAACCATGCCTTGCGTCACTAGGTCTGGTGAGCGGATTCCACTACCCCTGACATCCAAGCAGCCAGTATCATATTCAGTGTTACTAGATAGACAGTCTCGCACGTAGCCCGGCCAACGACTCTACCACGTATTCAGTAGCACCAGCCATCTCAGTCGGACACTCGCACTCAAGCATCCATCTCGGCAAATAGCACACACATTCCTTCGGTGCCGGATTCTCCTCTCCCCCACCGCCTACCCTCCACCAATCCGTATGCAGCAATTCGCGCGAGAAAAGAAGAAAAGAAAACAGTAACCGTAATAAAGGCATGTTGCATCAGACGTGCGATAAAACATCCACACGTACCTTGCATGCGCGTCCACAACAAGGCGAGCTCATCTGCTTCGGCTTGTTCCGATCGCCCACGGCACGATCTACCCACGGGGAACCATTATACGACATCCACATATACACACATCCATATGCATACACGAGTTCGGACCGAGCTACTTACGAGTGCGGCAGAAGAGGAAAGCGATGGCGATGGGCAATGCGCGATATCCATGTGTCTGGGGGGTTTTGGAGGCCGATGGTGGCGCAGCAATGGGATGCTGGCGGATGCTCCCATATCATGTAGAGTGTGTAAGCGTCTAGTCCGGGTTGGCCCAGGGGGGGCGTTCATGCTGGGGGGTGCGTATTTCAGCGGTAAAACATTGTTTTAGGGGGCTGTTTCTTTGCTACAAGGGTTTTCCCTTTTTCCCTCTCTTCTTGTTCTTCTTTGTCTTCTTCTTCTCCTAGGTAATAGATACTTAATTTAGTTTGCTTGGCAAGCGTTTCTGGCCAGTGTCCAAAGAAAAGTACACCTTGTAGGGGGTTTGCGTCGTAAGCTCCGTGGGGCGCGGCGCTAGGGTCTACCTACCTACTTACAATATGTTATTGTGGACAACGACCCGCTGCCTTCTTTCCTTTTTTTCTGGGGGGAATGCTCCTCAGGGCTGGCTTTTGCGCGTTGGAGATGCTGATGCGGGTTCATGGTGTCCCTCCCCCTCTTCTGTGCTAAAGCAAGTACCTACCTACGTACTTAGTTTAGCCGTGTACTTGGCAGAGTCCTGGGGGACATAAGCCGCTGCTGCTACTGTACTGCTGCTACTAAAGGACGGACCGATCTGGATAATATTCACCCTTCGGTGCGGTGGACCCTCCCTCTCTTCCCCCCCGTTTGTAGCTGGCTGAGATTTTCCGCAATTGTCCGTGCGGATAGATGGGGACACGGAAAAATATCTCGATATAGGGATCGGCCGGGTGAGGCTCGGATGTAAGTATGCGGGGTCTTGGCTCTGCATGGGGGGCTGGGGGGGGGGCACAAGGTTGCTTCCTTTTTTCATCTCGCTATTGTGTACTGTAGACGGGTCCATGTGGCTTTGGGCACTCAGAGGGCGAATATACGCGGACTGCGGGCTTAGATTGGTGTAAGACGGCGGGTGCTTTGGTGCGAAGACATACGGCGGGTGCTGGCTAATCCGTATGCAGGGGGTGGAATCAGCGCCGGAAGAGTGGCGAGATGAACGCTCGGGAGATGGATGCTTGGACTGAGCTGTTGTGAGAATGTCTGGAATGTTCGGTTGTATAGAGGGAAGCGCAGATGAGGGAAGAATTCGGCCGAGGTGATTCATCATGTCGTGAGATTTGGGAGATGACTGGAGAAAGACTGGCCTGGCCTTTGCAGATTTCTCAACCTATCTGCACACTTATGATGAGAAGAATCTGCAAGTTTCTTTCACGATATCAATGTCACTGCCATCTGTGTAATGAAAGGGAAATTAATAGAGAGATCGTGAAAATGTACATGTGGATGGAATGGATGGAAAGTAGTTTTCCTGCCATGAGCCTTCTGATGGATCGATAATCCGACAGGAATCAGGGTCGTCAAGTACCATGGTTCCTAAGGATGAAAAAAATGAAGATTTAAACACTCACACCTGTTACACAGCTCTTCTGATTTTGCCACCCGCCAACATACAAGTTCCTCAATTCCCGTCATCACAACATTGTACCTCAGATCCAACATGCTCAAAACTTTACAAATGGTTATTCTCTTCATGGCTAGCTTCCTAGCTCCAACTACCGCCGCTCCGCCCCACAAGTGCGGATATGGCTGGGGCGTCAAGGCATGCCTCAATTCCGATGGGAGTCTCTGCTGTGTAAGCGATTCCACATGCTACTTCTTACCCAGTAACTGAATTTGTGACAGCACCAGGAAGAGTGGCTGGACTGCCCGAGCATTTGCAGCGGTACTTCAGATTGCGTTTACGGCGGTGCGGGTCTCGCTCGGTGCAGCTAGCTATTACCCTGAATCCAGCTAGTACAGACAATGTTTGGTTGAATTTTCGTATGGGGCTGGAGATGGTGGCAGGATACTCAGAAAAGTCTTTCATTCTTGGTCTTGCGGGAATTGGGGGTCACTTGTGCGTTGTGAATTCCGCGGGGTGAACACGGTGGAATTAGGGATGGAATAAATGGAAGCACTCGGAGAACGAACAAGTAAAGAATGAATCCAAACATCGCCTTGGATAATGACATGCTCTGATACAGCCTGGTTACTCGAATCTGCGTCATGAAGACCCTGTCCGGAGTTTGGGAAGATTGATTGCATGTGAAGAACACCTGGACCGCATCATTTCGCGTGACATCTGAGGGGCCTATATTTGGAATGAGTGCTTGTGTTTGCTGTGAGTATTGCTGGCCTTTCGAAGATAATCCATTTGTATGATAATCTCTAACTATTAAACTCGCGGAGTTGACTATATTATTTATCTAAATTTCAAGGCTCTATCTCTTTGTGAAACTGCCAGGTGATTGGCTCCTGCTCAAATTTGTCGATTTATCATTAGAAGTGATACCCAAGTCCTCTTCACGTAAAAAAAATATAAAGTCATAAATTTCAAGTAGTATTGAATGAACGTCAAATTGGATGCGTCAATTGAGAAAACACTGGACAGAGCATGCTATGCATGAAACTTCTGTACCACTTGTAATGATATTGTAGCTCTCTGTTTATGCACAGTAAGCGGTGACATGTTCATAATCGTGATATTGATATGCCGAGAATCGTGAAGTCTACACGGACGTGTTGGTTGGAACTGCTATTCATGTGGCATATTGGTAGACAAGCAGATTTGTCATTTCCGACAGAATTCTCTTGACAAACATGGCCAACCTTGCAGGCGACTGTCGAAATGCTACTACACCTCTATCGTAGTGGTGATGACGCCAAGGTCGTGTAGCGGTTGTTGCGCCAACGCCGGTTGTTTAGTGGGCGGCAACCTTTCCGCTTGCCGACGTGTACCCAGCAAGGGTGCGTCTCCGTATGTGCAGCCTCCAACATTTTGCCCTTCACCCCACGCATTGATACGGACATGACGATTGTCTACTAGCTTGATACCCATTCTACACGAACCGCCGTTGCACAGTGGCGACACCACGAGCGGCCCATTTTCGGTCCCCAGCACCCAGACCCAGCGCCCAGCGCCCAGCACACTGCATATGCGATAATCGCATTTCCACCACAAGCGACGAGAAATGCTCGGCTTCCGCCCCCTATCGGTGGGCAAGAGGAAAGCCCAGTCGTATAACCAGGCGCCCAGTGCCGAGCGCGACATCGAAGAGGGCGAGTACAACGAAAAGGCACATGAAAGCGACGGCTACGAGAACTACATGTCGTCGGGCACATCGAGCCCCTCATCCTCACGGCAATCCTCGGGCGCATACGATCAAAACCCCAACAATATCGAATCACGGCCCCTCCGTCGGCCCTCGAGATCCCACCGGCGAGCGCCCTCCAGACCGACGGTGAGCGCATACAGCTACAGAAACCCGCGGGCGTGCACAAGATACTTTGGCCTGATCGTAGCGAGCACCCTGCTATTCTTCATATGGTTCCTATTCAGCAGCAGTTGGGCGTCGATACGAAATGCAGAGCTCGGCCTCAACAGGCCGCCACCGCCGCCCAACGTGTGGGAGAGCTTCCCCTTCTTGAAGAGATACCACGGCGGCATCCGGTCGCTCGTCAGCCGCGAAAAGAACGTCCCCGAATACCCCACCAAACAAGACATCGACCCCGAGCTGCCGCCCGAGGAGCCCAAGGAGGGCGCAAAAGAGCGGAGAGGGCAGGGTGCACATATCCCCGACTCGATACCCTTTGACCCGTACCCCGACTACAGCGACGTGGATTACACACAGAAATACGGGCCCGTCGAGACATGTTACATTGACGCCAGCGACACCATCAAGGTGCCAGGGCTGCGGGCATACAAGGGCGTCCCCGATGGCATGCCCGACAACGTCATTGGAAGCTATGACCTACTAGGGCTGAGGAATGACGTCTGTTTCGAGCGCTTTGGCAGACTGGGTCCGTACGGCCTGGGCTACAGCAAGCGCCGCGGCGGCACTGGCGCTGGCATGGAGGGCGATCGAGAAGGAATCGAGGATGTCTGGAAGACGGACGCTGAGGTCGACTTTCGCACGGTCAACTGGGCCGATGCTGTCAGTCGATGCTTAGAAAAGAACAAGAAACGTTTTGAGAAGCAACCCAAAAGCACTCGCCATAGCTTCCAGAATATGGGCAAGCGTGACGCAGATGTCAAGACAGCGAGTTCTGACGATGCACCGCCCAAGCAGTCAAAAGCGCCGCACAAGGCTCGTCTCCCGCGTACCGCAGTACTCCTCAGAACATGGTGGGATTACGAATACGACGACGAGGACATCATGTACCTTCGCGCTCTCATTTCCGAGCTCAGCCTGGCTTCGGGAGGCGAATACGAGGTGCACTTCCTCATCCATGTCAAGGATGACAACAAGCAAATCTGGGCTGATGAGCAGGTCTACCAGGAAGTGCTCAACAACTCGCTGCCTGCTGAATTCGCCGGTATGGGCACTCTATGGTCAGAACGCCAAATGGGGCTGATCTACGGAGGTCTTGAAGAGTCCTTCTTCCGCGACCGACCAGTCCATGGTGCCTACCGCTCTACCTTTATGCCCGTAACGTACTTTGCCCACCAGCATCCCGAGTACGAATACTTCTGGCACTGGGAGATGGATGTTCGGTACACTGGACACTATTACCATCTCTTTGAGCAAGTCTCCAAATGGACGGCGGCCCAACCTCGTAAAGGACTATGGGAGCGCAATGGACGTTTCTATGTACCCTCAGTCCACGACTCTTGGGAGGATTTCAAGCAGATGGTGCGCGTGCAGACCGAGCATGGCACCAACAGCCACGCAAACAGGTGGTCTTCGCACCTCCCACCCAACCCGCATGTCCCGGGCCCAGAGATGCAGAAGCCCGAAAAACCAATTTGGGGACCAGAGCTTCCGAATGATTACCCAGACATTGAAATCGACCCCGCGGTAAAGCCCAACACCACTATTACCGAGGACAAGTATGAATGGGGTGTGGGCGAGCCTGCAGATCTCATTGTATTCAATCCTCTGTTTGACCCCGACAAGACCAACTGGATTCTAGCAGACGACGTCACTGGCTACGACATCAAAAATGGCCGCCCGCCACGACGAACGGCTATCAACACTTCCGGCCGCTTGTCAAGGCGACTCTTGGAGACCATGCACCGCGAGCAATCACACTTCCGCCATACCATGTTCAGTGAGATGTGGCCTGCCTCGTGCGCCTTGCACCATGGTCTCAAAGCCGTATATGCACCTCACCCTGTTTTTATCGACCGCAAATGGCCCACACAGTACCTTGCTGCTATCTTCAACAACGGCCGTAATGGCGCATCAGGCGGAGCTCGTCTGTCAGTCTTCTCAGACGAGAGGCAACATAACTTTCTGGGTACAACCTGGTACTACCACGCTGGCTTCGCGCCCAACTTGTGGAAGCGCTGGCTCGGCTACAAAGTCGACAATGACGGCGGCGAGGAGCATGAGCTTGCTCACGAAGGCCGCATGTGTCTTCCCGGGGTGCTACTGCATCCAGTCAAACACGTTGATTTGATACAAGAGCGAGTTGAGGATTCCCCAGACAAGACTGACTAAGGTCCCGACATGGCGAGAATGATGTTTGCAATGACGGCACTTGGTGTAAAGGCGCAATGGGTTTATTGGTACGTTGCTGTGAGTAGCGTTTGATTCTTGATGTAAACGACTAGACATGATGTTGCCATTCGTGTTGTGTAATGGTATATATGAGTAGCATTAGAAAGGCGCTTTTCGCTTTCCGGTAGCCTTGCTTTGTATGTAATTGGAGACACGCAGCGTCTTACAGTACTTGTATTCCAACCTTGGCCCTTCAATAACTCCTCGGTAGCCCGAGAACTTTTTCCCCGATATAGTTGAGTATCATTTCCCGGCTCACGGGTGCTATCCGCGGCACGAAGCACTCTCGGAGATATCGCTCAACGTCGTACTCTTGCGCATATCCCATGCCGCCGTGCGCCAGCACTGCTCTTTCACATGCCGTGAAAGCTGCCTCGGCCGCAAGATACTTTGCACTGTTTGCCGCGACGCCAATCGAGTCTTGCCGTATAGAGTCGTCGGTTTTGCTCGCGTCGTACAATCTCGCGGCATGATACGTCGCCAGCTTGGCTGCTTCAAGCTTCATGTACGCGTCAGCGAGAGGATGCGCAACGCCTTGATTCATTCCAATCGGCCGCTGGAAGACATGGCGTTCCCGCGCATACCCGCTGGCCTTTGCCAATGCCGCATATCCCAGTCCCAATGCCTCGCCCGCCAGCAGGCAGCGCTCCGCATTCATGCCATGCAGAATGATGCTGAAACCGTCTCCTTCTCTCCCCACGAGGCTGTCCGCAGGGATACTGTAGTTGTCGAAAAATACCTCATTCGCATCAACCGCTCGCCCGCCCATCTTCTTGATGCCCCGCATGTCCAGCCCGGATCCAGGCGACCGGTCGAGCGGTATGCAGAACAGACTCAGCGCTTTGCTTGGTTTCTCCGCGTCCTCCCTGGCTTTCGTGCGTGCAAGCAGTATCATCCTCGACGCGACTTGCCCACAGGTGATCCAGATCTTCTGGCCCGTGACACTGTACCCACTGCCGTCTTGATTCTTCTTGGCAACCGTACTCAGGCGTAGGGTATCGAGGCCCGAATTGGGTTCGGTGACGCCAAAGCATGTTCTGTATTCGCCGCTGATGATCCTGGGAATCGTGTCTTGCAGCTGGGCATCCGTCCCGAACTTGGCTAGAGGCTGCGTCGCATATACGTTTGCGTGGATGGCTTGCGCGCCGGCTATACCAGCGCCCGACTCGGCTATTGTCTGCATCATCATGGTCGCCTCGGAGATGCCGAGGCCAGAGCCCCCGTACCGCTCTGGCAGCGCAATCCCGAGCCACCCGTTCTTCGCCAGCGCCGCATGGAACGCCGCGGGGTCCTTGGAGCTATCATCGTGCTCACGCCAGTAGGTATTTGGAAACTCGGAGCACAGATCGAAGATTGCTTCTCGGACTTCGAGCTGCGTGGCTGTGAAGCCCGTTGTTTCCATGATGCTGGCGCGAGGCGAGGTCGAGAAGCGGCATCTTTGCAACGCGGGTGCGTAGGCAAGACGCTGTTTGGAGAGAAGCGGGCGCAGTGCCCGTAGCGCGTGCGATGGAACAGCTGGTCGCGGCATAGCGTCTCGTCATGTAATGTATAGAGCTGGGAAATTGAACATTGCTCACTGACGTATGTATGTATATAAGTACTGGGTGGTTGGCTGTAAAGCCGACTTAACTAGCAGAGCTAGGTATAGTAAGACCGAGCCGAGGCATATAGCCGAATCTCTACTTACTTACCTCATTTGCACAGCATTGCAGAGGCATGAATATTGTGTCTTGGTATCTCTGATCAACTTGCTGATCTGTAGAGACATGGTAATGTCAGGAAATAGCATATGTATCCATCCAATCTCAGCAAGAGTCCTTCGCATTGTTGTCACTTAGGCACTATAAAGGCCTCGTATCAAGAATGAGAACTGACTGAAAATGCAAATCTTGAAAGCAGATATGTATCGATGGCAGATGTACATGTACTGGGTCCTAGTGCCGCGAAAGCGAGAGATATAAGATTCTGGGAGGTGCGATTTACAAATCGTTGTATGGAGTTTCGACATTGTAGGTTGAAGTTTAGCTGAGTAATGGCATATATCAATGAAGCTATTATTTCTTGATTTAGATCTTGTAAATATTGATAGTCTGGCATGGATTTGCTTTTCGAAGCACACAGCAAAGCTTATATGACATTAGTATCGTCTGCAAGACCTTTGGACGAGCATTCTGCAAGCACTATAGGCCTTGACTGTGCAATCAGAAAGCATGACCTAATTAGCACCTCTCAATGTAACTTTGCACGGGAAGCCGTGCACGGGGTGAGCTGCGCCGAGAGGCACTTGGTACGCCCTCTCTCCAAACACCGTCTTGATACCCGACGACGGGTGCAACCGATCCCACTCCTCATACTGGTCGCGAATATCAAATTCACGGACCGTCATTGCCAGGGTAATCTTGACATCCAGCATAACGAGCGTCTGGCCAATGCAGTTGCGGGGACCGTATTCAAAGGCTCGCCACCCACCTTTGGGTGGATACAACGGATGGCCCGGCTCGACCAGCCAGCGATCAGGTAGGAACTTGTGAGGTTCAGGCCAGTAATCTGCGTGCCGCTGAATAGCGCTGTGGACAATCCATATGTTGAGATCTTCGGTGGGATACTTGTTGCCGTTGCTGTCGCGCAGGAACACGCCGGGGAGTCCGCCGCGCATTCCTGCCGCAGGAGGGAAAAGCCGCAAAGTCTCCTTGATGACTGCAGTCATGTACGGAAGCTTATTTATTTCTTGTGGGCGCTCCTTGAGTACCCTAGCCGCCGAGTCGGCGCCCTCGCCGAACACTTGGTCGAGCTCGGCACGGACTTTGGCCGCGGCCTCGGGATGCTTGGATAACATGTAGAGACTATAGACGATTGTAGCAGCGGTGGAGTCGTGTCCTGCAAATAGGAAAAGCCGGATCTGGACGGTAGCCCATTTCTTGAATTCAGCGTCCAATTTATTGCAGGATTTGCGTTCGCTCATATATGCGGCTATGGTCATGTCCATGATGGACTTGGCTTTTGTGGATGGCTTGCTGGATTTCCATGCTTCATATCGTTTGTCCAGTTCGCGGCTAATGTAGCGATCCATTATTCTGCCGTTGCGCCATTGGATAAAAGGTCTCACTGGGTTCCAGCGCTTGAAGGGATTCAGCTCCTGGTCTTGGCAATGCCATTCGATGGTACTCCGCATAGCAGCGGCAAGATCGTTGTGTTGAGTGATTGAATGGAGACGGTCGTTTCTGAAATAATTAGAGATGAACTAGCGGCTGGTGCTGGCAATAGGCGCTCACAGTGTGATTACTCCAATAATGTCCATCATGTAGTCGCACGTCAGCCTGTCTAGGGAAAAGGTATCACCCTTTTTCGCGTGCTCTCGCAGTAGCGCCACATACACCTCAGCCTCTGGGATAATACGCGGCGTATTCTCAAGCATGGCGTTGGCGCTGAAAGCGGGGTTGAAGAGAGTTCTGGAGCGCTTCCACTCGGCGCCATTTGTGTCGAAGAGATTGGGGCCGCCAGCAAAGGGTGCGAGAAAAGGCGTAAGAATGTCGGGCTTGGGAAGGTCGTACTCTTGACAAGCTTGTGTGGCGACTTCAGGCGAGGTGACTACGATCAATGGGCTGGTAAACGGCCAAAGATCGATATAGAAGCAGTTGTCCGATTCTTTAAAGTCGTACGAAAGCAGGGTCAAGGCATCTCCTTGCTGAGAGCCCTTGGGAAACTTTTTCATCAGACTTGGTAGTGTCAGAATGTTACCCAACGCAAAGTTCCATGCAGGCATGGGCTAGAGGCACCGGTGTCAGCAAGTAGTTATGCAACATGTTTGGCTTGACCGCATACGACGCCTTGTTTCTTGAGTCTGTAGAAGATCATGCGCATCTTGATCAACTTGAAAGCGAATATGCCGAAGGCGGCGACGGCTGCCGACAGCGCGATCTGCCATGCGATGTTGCCGGGCGTGAGCGCAGCCATGGCCGATCGAGTTGTCTCGTCTTGAGGATGGCGAAATGTGGAGTCGGTTGGTGGAAGTCGGATGGATCTTTGTTAGCTGGTGTTGTTGTTGTTGCTGTTGTCCTTGTCAGCTTCGGTTGTTGGGGCGCCGGTGCGCCGACGCTGGCGGACGCCTTATTGTGAACAACGCCAGTGAGCATGATGTACCTAGACAGACAGGCGTCGTTGCGCTCCGCGGACTTCAGGTTACACAGCATGTAGCCTCCATATCCCCACTCCGCGGGACGAAGCCGTCGAAGATGCGGAAGTAGATCTCCCGCTTCTTAGCGCCTGGTCACTGCATAATGGCGGTGATTCGTCGTGACCGTCAACTGTACATTCTTTTTCTTTCTCTAGCAACCCATTAATTGGCTACCGTTCCTTAGCCACCAATTTATTGTTCCCAGGTGGTTTTTTTGTGTCTAAGTATTGAATGTTCAGTATTAGTTAATACGATCAATGGCCCCGAGATCACTATGGGTAAGTTGGCCTGAAGCTGCTCGCTGCAGTCGCGTGCGCTGAAGCGCTACGGCCATACGTGCAGCTGTATATTACACACAAAAAATCGCAGAAGGCAGTTGGTGGCTCCCAAAAGACAAAATAAGCATGGCAAAGCCGTACGTTTTACACATGGACAACGAGCTTGGGAACACTCAGGATGGGCACATACTAACCCTTTCTTGGCTCTTGAACAAGATAGTCCATGATAGGTACATGTGACGGGAAATACAGTCCCCTTAGCATTGGAAATAGCGAGGCCGTAGACATGCGCACGAAGATAATTGCACAAGGAACGCATTTCTCGGTCAAAACGCCGAGCGAACCATAAGCACTGTACCCATGAAGCGCATGCACTCGGGGTCACGTGGAACACGTCATCATCTTCACATGCTTACTGCTTGTCACGTAACTGAACCTCGATACATGCACGCCGAGGCTTGGGATCAGTTCATCAAGATCCTGGCTGGAGACGCAAGAATCGAAGATGGCTATCAGGCCGCAACCAGAAGGCGTGAAATAAGGTTGACAACAGCAGCTAAACCGACGCCAATTTATTAGTGAACTTCCCAGTACGGACTAGGCGTTAATATATCCTTACAAAAAGAATTTTTCAGGCAGCGGTAGTTTCACTGATCTTCCCACGTGGGCCGGGTCCCGGTACATCCAACACTGGATTACCGATGAGCTGGTACTTAGCTGCAGCTTGTAATATAATAAGCGCATGCACATGAGCCAAGTCGGCAAATATTTAGTGATGCAGCTCTACCCTTTCCACCATCGGTTCTACCCCACCAACATGGCTTTCCTGTAGTCCACTGTGCAGCGATAATTCCACGAATAAACATCCTCTATTATTCTCGCAAGATCTACAACTGGAATGTTTGCCGTACTTACAGCAATAAATAAACCTTCAAGCTGCGGTTGACTACGAAGTGCAATATACAGATACTGTCACATGCAATAATAGGTAGCTTTTGTAATGCAATATCACCGCAAGCAGGAGGTCGCCGAGCAAATTCTAGTTGGTGAGCAAGTTTTTCTGTTTGTCAAACGCTCTCGCTAGCTCTGAGGAAACAAGTACAGTGTAGGTAGCCAGCATCTTCTATTGAGTGTCCACTACGCTGTGAAGCCCGCGACGTCAGCATGTAGAAATCACTTTTAGAACATATAATATACAACAAGCTATGATCTAGAAAATAAAGATGAAGCATATTAGACTAAGATTACGAATCGAAAATGGCACCGTAGGCCGGAATGTCCCTAGTCTCCATATCGTACACAAGTTTGGTCGTGAACTTTTTGTTGCTGATGATGCATACAGCCTCTGCTCGACTCTCCTTCCACATTTGGTACGCCAACAAGGACATGTTGGGCTTTCCTTGGGTTCTGGTGTTCCAGATGACGGCTTGCGAGTCTGTCGATTTGACACTGTCGATGATTTCTTGACCAAAAGTCTCTTCGGGGTTTGGTGCAGTCCACAAGATGCGGCATGGCACTTTTTGGGCGAGAATGACGGCAAGACATGGTCCAATGCCTGAGCCGGTTGCAACTAGCACGACCGATTTGAACAGGGTGGCGATGCGCAGGACACCGCAGGCTGGGATACCGCGTACGTAGATCTGAGATGGTGCGCGGTCAATCGTGCGGCCTGTGAAGTCGCCAGCACGGCTGACAATAAGCGAGAATCCTTTGCCGTTGGGGTTGGTAATGGTGGCAAAGCCGTGCCTGTGAAGTGATGATTAGCAGTGTTCTGATTTGAAGGAATCGTATGTTGGTGCAACGTACCAGTCAACCAAAGGACGTTCGGCAAGCCTTACGGCAGTGCCAACAGTGGGTGTCGTGTACTCGAACCAAAGACGGACAGCATGTCTCGAGAGAACCTCGGAGCGTACAGGGACTTTGCGTAGAAACACCCATGGAAAGACGATAGCGGTGGTCGCGAGGGCGAGAAGCCAGATGGAGGGAGAGCGCAGATACGCTTCTGATGGAGACAATGTTGGGTTCAGGTCTTTGGTGGCAAGGAAGGTCAGGGTCCATAGTAATCCCAGACATGTCCATCCACCGAACCGGTGAGTCATTTCCCAGATGTTGTGGTATTTGGCGCGGAAGGTTGGGTGGGAGGTTCCGCCAATAGTGAGCAAAATGATGCAGGCGAGCCACGACACTACGACTGGAGCCGTAGAAATCCGACGCATGTGTCGAGGTTTCGTTAGGTCCACGGTACTGTCCAAGGTGAAGATCAGATGCCACATGATAGCTGACATGGCACATCCGCTGTGTATGCCGCCGATGTGAAAGACCTTTGCACATTGACGGCGTATGGCCAGAGGAAAGAAAGTCTACATGTTGAGGTACACAGTTAGTAACCAGCCCACTAAGCAGTTCAGACGACCATTACTTACCGGAACGGAGCAAAAAACGGTAAAGAGAAGATTTACGACAAGTTCCCAGCGCATCATGACGGCTACGACGAGGTTGGCGGCTGTCGCTATAGCCAAATCGGGCAGAATGTCCTTGTTATCCCCAATTCGGCGCTTCAACAGAAACACCGCCACTCCGATATTTACCAATGCAACGACAGATAGAAAGCGCCGATAGAGAATGAGTGCGCGATACTGGAGCCAGCGCAGACCGTGGTAGCTGTTCTTTGGTGGCAGAGCCTCTGGTAGTTTTTCCGAGGATTGGTTGGCGGAAACAATACTCTGCTCCGATGTACTGATGATTGTGGCGGTACCCTTCTTTTCTCCACTCTTCAGAGAATCCATCGAGGGTGTCATCATAGACTGTGTCTCTAGAGTAATGACAGTGGTAGCATCCTTGGGCATTGTCGTAGCGAGTTCTGTGCGTGGCTCGTCTTGAACCATCGCACGCAAAGCTTTCCGGTCGACCTTTCCGTTGTTGGTAAGTGGCAGCGCTTCGATCAGAGTCCACCTTTCTGGGACAGAGTAATACGGCAGATGCTTCTTTACGTAGGACACAAGTTCTGCTTCGTCTACTGGGCTTTGCGGTGCGTAGAAGGCGCAAAGTACATTGTCGATGAGCATCACTGCGCCTCGCCTGACAGCGGGAAAAGCCTTGTACTGTTAGTAATCTGACTGAAGCCGTTCGTGAGATCAACTTACTTCAATGACGGCAATGATTCCGTCAAGTTCGACACGAAAGCCCTTGATCTTGACTTGGTCATCTTCGCGGCCCAGCATGTCAAGCGAGCCATCCTCTCTCCATCGTGCAATATCACCAGTGTTGAACATTGTCGATCTACGCCAAGTAAGCAAGTTTTCTAGAGTCAAAGATCATGAAACATACCCATCGTTGGCGAATTTGTCGGCTTTGTAGCGTTTAGCAGTGAGTTCAGGCAGATTGATGTAGCCGCGAGTCACACCAGCTCCGCCTACCCACATAGTACCCTTTTCTCCTACACGGACAGGGTTTTCGTTCTCGTCAAGAAGGTAGCATCTTGTGTTGGGCAAAGGCTTCCCAATAGATAGCGTTTCGCCAGGGGTATGTAGGTGTGCAGTGTTGAGGATAGTGATTTCTGTGGGCCCGCAAATGTTGTAGAAGGACGAGCCTTGTGCCCACTCATCAGCAAGTCTGGAATGGTGTTAGTCTGGCCGACAATGGTCTTTGAGAGTTGCAACTCACGCCTGGGGACAGGGTTCACCGCCGACTGCAATGTGTTTGATGTTTGTGTAAGACTGTCGCTGATACTTTGACAGAATGGATGGTGTAGAAATAAGGGTATCAACCTGGTGCAGGGTTAATTGGCTGAAGATGGTTGGCTGCATATGTCGGCGCTTACCTGCTTGAGTGTGGCCGACCAATCGGAACCTCGCATGTACAAAGTACCACCGTTCATCAGGGTTGCGAGTATCTCCCATGCTCCTAGTATTTCTTAGTAATTGTTTTTCCTATTTGGATTGGAATACTCACCCATGTCAAAAGCAACACTGAGAACCTGAGCAACTTTGGACCCCACTGTTATACCAAGTCGCGCGGGCTCCAACAACAGTGCATTTGTGACATTTGAATGCGCAACATCAACACCCTTGGGCGTACCGGTGCTTCCTGAGCATAACTTGTAAGTATTGGTTTGGTCCTGGCAGAATCAAACTTACCAGACGTATAGATGGCGTACGCGCCATCGTAGCGGGAAACCTGAACTGATGGGCGTGTGCAAGGGAAAGACGCGCCAACACTGTTGTCTAGAGCAATAATAGTTGTGGCTTTCTTGGCAAGTTTTGTGCATCTTTCCAAGTATCGAGGAAGACAGAGCACAAAAGTTGCACCAGAGTCGTTGAGGATATGTGTTAGGGCAACTTCGGACGCTACTCCTCCGTCGACTGGCACATATTGGCATCCAGCCTTCAGGATGGCAAATATGCCAACAAGCATCTCAAAAGATCGCTGTAAAACGAGACATACTCGTTGTCGTGGCTCGAGTCCCGCATGGATAAGGCGGTGGGCGAGTTGGTTCGCGGATTCGTCCAATTGCTGGTATGTAAGAGAGTTGCCAGCAACTGTGGCAGCAATTGTTGTGGGATGAGCTTGGGCAATGTTTTGGAAAGCTTCATGTACCAAGGAGTAAGGAGCCACGACCGTAGGTCCCTGACCGAAGCGAGTTATCCGCATTCGATCCTCCTCGGGGAGGCATGAAGTTGCGTAAAAGCAGGTGTTTGGCGTCATCTTGCGCGGTCGAAACGTGAAAGAAAGACTGGAAAGCTAGCGGTACCTCGAGTGATTTGCAATGGTTACCTTTATACAAATAATAGACATCATTCAAGGCCCCTGCTCCCCCTCCCGTGCGCGTACATGCATCGGTGGACACACCTCCGAAAACGAGATGCCTGGTCACTATTGCCAGCTCACGTACTATGTAAGGCTGAGAAATACACCCGTATTGCCCCCCTTGACTGCAAGGAGCGTGCTGGATAATGGTCTTGGGTGTTTCATCAAAACATATTATACGCATGTCCTGAAAATCCCAAACAAGCCAGAGATGGCCGGAAATTGTCTACATTAGGGCGGACTCCTCCCAACCATCGGTAATTTGGAGAAATCCAGTTAGCAAGCGACGGGTGAACGACTCGAAATAGATGAACTTCTGCAGGGTAAGTATCGAACATCCCACTCACTCAAAACAACTGGGTCTGCGTACGTAGGCGCTGCAGCGGCTCATTATCATGACTAGCTGCCTGTATCAGGGGCCTGAGCCACGGTCGTTGCCACAATCTACAAGTAGAAGTATGCCTAGATGCAGATTACCGGGGCAGACCCCAGCTGGTGATTGCAGGCGGATTGCCAGGCTGCATGTGCCTTCCGGTTGTGACGTTGAGCCCGATTTGCAACGGCCGTACCCGGATACCCCAGACCGGAGGATATCAGCAACGCATGATAGGCGACGCCCGCTGCAGCGGCCGCCATGTCATTAGCATATGGACAATGGCTGCCGAGGCTCTCCACTTGTGGCGGTCTTGTCCTGACGGTCGTGTGGAGTCAGTGTTTCGCGAAACGTTGTTTTTTCCGGGCCAACGTGGGCCAAGCGGCTGCTTAGCCGAACGGTCTTGCACATGGAAAGGGGAGAGAGGCACATGTCGGATAAAAGTGAAAAAGAAAAGTAGGAGCCAGGGGACGGGCGCAAAAACCTGCTTTGCAGCGACACATGGCACAGGATGGTGTTGGTAGTCTGGCCAGGAGCCGAAACAAGCCAAGCATTAAATGAAACTAGCAGGGCCCCGTCGTCCCCATCGGGCTACGGCACCCGATTGCGAGCAACACCAGGCCTTGTGCAATGAGCGCATACTATGTCGTGTGCGGAGATGCTGGTGGCCTGCTGCATGGCAGCATCGAGGGCGGATCATGCCCGTCCAAAGCAGCCTAGTATAAAGGTAGTCATGAGAACAGCCCTAAACCAGGCCAATATTACCGGACAACAAATCCTGATCTCTTCTCGTCATCCTCCTCCGTCGCCTTCATTGGATACTCGACCAAGTACACACCGAGCCTCTGCTGCAAGCGTACGACGACATGTACCCACTTTGATCCTAAGCAGACTGACAGCTTCCAGCAGTGACTGCGTGAATAGCCAACCATGAGCCTACAGACTGCGGAACAGCCGAACCTAATCGTGTCCACCACCGATGATGGAATCGCCATTCTGGAAATGAACCGGCCAAGGAAGCGGAATGCCTTGTCACAGGCGTTTATCGACGAACTGACAGCAGCTCTGCGCCACATTGACCGCACTCCAACGACATTTGCTGTCATCCTAACCAGCTCTGGACCCTTCAGCGGTAAGTGGCGGTCCATACTTGGCGAGCTTCTGAAGCTGACACGCCACGCAGCTGGTGCAGACCTGACCGAATTGGGGGCTCTTACAACCGCCGAAGCGTATGTGTACTCGGAAAAAGGCCGAACCTAGAGTCCTGTTGACATGCCTCCCGATCTATCTAGCACCCGCGTTGGCTGGCTCAAGGATCTAGACGATGCATTTTCAAGTTTTCGGAAGCCCATCTTGGCAGCAGTGAGGGGCTTTGCCGTAAGCCAGCCTGGTGTTGTTTTTGATGACAAGCAGCTTATTAACATCATCTACCAGTTAGGCGGTGGTTTTGAACTCGCGCTTATGGTAAGCTCAGCCCATGCATACAGATACGCGACAGCCGATCTTCCCGGGATGGCGCCTTTGGAATGCTAGCTAATGTCGTGCAGTGCGATATGATTTACGCCTCAGCGGATGCACGGTTTGGCTTTCCCGAGATCACTCTGGGTACGCTACCCGGAGCTGGAGGGACACAGAGGTAAGCAGAGCATCTGTGTCTCCTGACCGAAAAGTGCTGACCTTTTGCAGGCTCACAAAGACTATTGGGAAGCAGAAGGTGTGTCTCCCATCCATATGCTAGGCGCCACTGTGCCCCATACTTTTCCTTTGGTCCAGAAGGATTTGCATTAACTCACTAGGCAATGGAACTTATATTAACTGGGACAACCACGTCGGCAACGGAAATGGAACGCCTTGGCGTTGTGAACCGAGTTGCCTCGAGCGAAGAGGACGTCCTAGAGGTGGCAAAAACAGTAGCACGTTCTATCGCCTCTTTTTCCGCGCCGGCAATCGGGCTAGCCAAACAAGCTGTTCTGGCAGGTGAGTACTTTTTAATCTACTCTCCGAGATTGCCAAGCCAACCAAATCAGCCGAGACGACGACCTTGAAGGCAGGTCTAGAGATTGAGCGCGCGCTCTACTACAGCAGCTTTTCGCTCGAAGATTGCCGCGAAGGCGTTACTGCTTTCAAGGAAAAACGAAAAGCAAATGTTCAGCATCGTTGAATTGTCAGGGTGACGGGTAGCACAGAGTGAATTTCCCCTGGGTCTTGTATTCGGGCCGTTTCTTTGTACTTGGCCCTTTGTGGGAGTAGGTCCGCAATCCGATTTCTGCTTTTTTTAATGACCGGCCCACACAAGGATGGTAGGCGGGGAACCCCTGGTGGTTCGGTGCATCCTTTGCTTCGAACGTTGGACGACCAGATCGTCCCGAGTAGGCTGGTGCTGTTAGTGTGGCGAAGCAAGTATCATCCGAGCAAGTCATGTAGCACTTTGAAAGGGGTTCTTGGAAGAAACACTAAAATAGAATGCATAGTCCAGCCCAAAGTTGATCAGTGCTAGTTAGGGGAGTGGTTGCATTAAGCTGCATAGGCACGTTATATGAAGGGGCTGAGGCACAATTATCTATCAGCACTCCCAAGATACATAACGCCTGGAGAGCGCGGGCCTTCGAACTCACGCGCGATGTGTATACACCCAACCGAGAATACGTTAATAGCCTATGTGGATAGCATGATTTTTATGATCAAAATTAGCTAGTCGACTGTAACTAGCACTGTAACTAGTAATTTACCTATTACATACCAATCGGTGCATAGAAAATGCATGAGATTATAGCGCATGTCGAGCGATCTAGGTTTTAACCTGTTGTAAACGCCGCAACTAATACAACTTCCAAATTTGGCATGTAGCCGCACGAAATTTGCCTGCAAACATGTAGTCACCACCTAATACCATGACGGTCTAGTTAGAGATAACTTTTGCTTGCTAAGTCGCCTTTGTCGCCCAGGCGAAAGAAAGGGAAGGGGATACAGGATACAACGAGCAACGTACGACAGCTACATGTGGCAGTTCATCCTGGTAACTTGGCTGCGTTGGAATGGGCTCATGAATACCAAGCCAGTCTAGTAGTACATGAAGAAACCAGATCACCAAGACGTCAAAGAATAGTGCGTATTGGGCAGATGCTCGAGTGTATTGTCAATAAATGATGACTTTGACCATCCCCCTTTGATACAAGGCCATACCTTTTGTCGAATACTGTAGACAAACAGCTTCGCCTCATTCCGAATCATCCGCTAGACTAATTCTATCTTGGTCCTGGTGTACATGCGTCGCCGTTGCCCGTACGCTAGGCGCCGGCCGCCTTCTATACGCCGGATACTACGGAGGATGGGGCGGGGTTAAGGCGGGTCAATAGCGGTCTTTTTTTTAGCAACCCTAAATATTCAATACACTAAAGATCTGCATAAACCTGGTCCCGTAAATCCCATTCACAGCTAAGAAGGCCCGCCGATGTTACGTCAAGCTTTGTCATCGTGCTTATGAGCTTCTACGTGCGACAACTTAGGCTTCTACTACAAACATCAGAAAGAGCTCCTGGGGTCGAACAGTCTTGGAAAATCCACAGTCATCCAGTGATAATTACTTGTAGTATATCTAGTTTTTTCAGCTTCGGTATTGATACCTCGAATCCCGCTTTTACCTCGATCCGACGAGGCCGACAATATCCCATGCGCCGCATGGATGCTACAGAAAGTCTAGAAATATGACTGTCGACTGCAGAAATAGGCTTCTGGATGTTTGTTTTCAGCATCAACTGTGTATATATCTTGAAGGCGATCATGTTACTAATGTCGTAGGCAATGATCAGCGTATCCAACGATGTAGTACGCTAGGACTACGGACTGTAGTTCAGCTTATGTCATCATGTCGTAGTACGTTCTGTTCAAATAGTGGTGCAACCGTACTTGAATTATTAGTACGGCTATCATATTATACCTATAGCTACAAGAATTACAGAGGTGGCTTTCAAAAGTTCTTGCTAAGGCGCGGATCCATCGGACCGAATTCTCGTGATAACGTTTCCATTATTTACTTAGCGTGCAAGAAATAATGCCTAATATAGTTAGTGTATTACTGTAAGTGTATACTTTAGTAGCTATTATTCTCTCCAAACTTCTATTTTAAGGGCTTTTAGTTGCGAATATAGTATAATTCTTAGTCTTCGGCTATATTTTCGGTGGTAACCAAGGAACCCCTGTCAGCAAGAACTTTTGAAAGCCACCTCTGTATAGCTTACCACTTATTCCAGCAAGTTTCGCATTAGTCAGGTAGCCATCTCACGTAAGCTAGGCCTAAACAGAGACTATCTTACTGTATTACATCGTCATCATGTTACAGCCGTGTTTACAGCGTGTAATCTCCCTGCTGACTCACGTTTCGTAGCGTAGTGAAGATTCCCTCGCCGTAATTCTTGTATAGTACGTTTGGACACTCTGATGATAATAGATGCCGCGAACTGATAGACAAGCGCCGAACTGCAAATGGATACCTAGTTCAAAATGTAATCATCATGAAGATAGCATCCCGGTTCTTCAAATAGTTCTCTAACCCCAACCAGCACGCTAGTTCAAAATGTCGCATAAGCATACAAGAGTGTCGTTGAAGAGATTGGGGGCTTAGTAGTAACACACATGTTCTTCGTGGTTGAGAGATCATATCATAATTTATTTTTATTAAATTCATCGCATATATTTCCAGCGCAGTTAATGGTCCATTTTCATCTATTCTTTTGCGAATAAATGGGTTATGTACAGGATTGACGCAATCGCTATGTCACTTTAAGATATAGTCTCAAGATTTCTGTCACTGTCTAGAATACTGCAATACAACCAAGGCCGGAGCTATGTAGCAGTGTCATGTGATACTCTGGAGAGCTGCTCCTCTTGTAACTCTTTCGCTTGCTTTATAATTGAGCAGCACAACAGCTACGCAGCTGAGTCCTGCCAGAGCACACCTCATCGGACGACTTGCCGTGACAATAGGCGTACCATTCAGGAATCTCTGGTATTTGTCACTTGACATTTACATCTCAAGAAAATTGTAATTGTTACGTGCTGGTTGGATGTTGCCTCCCTCGGAGTAGATGGCAAGCTTGCGTCAACTCTGTTTTGATTGGCTTGACGTAACATTGTCATCATCCCTTATGCACGTTCACCACATTCCCATGCACTCCGCATCCCAGTGGTCGAACGCGATAGCGATATTCGAATTTATTGATGCATTCCTGTCGTCGGAAGCGTTCAATGTGCATTAGCCAGGTCTAGGTTGACTGCAGGATTGGATTTCATCAAATCGTCATATTGACACATGGCTGTCTCATCATCTTTATCTTTAAACTCAGAGTCTCCGAAAATTGGCAATGGAAATTCCTTCAAACCTAACGTCTAAGCTACCGACAATGACCAGCACCAATGCGAATTCGAACCAAACCGACCCTATGAGGCACCCTCTTGAGGCCACTGCAATGGCTATTAAAGGAGCGGCTTCGGGCGAAGGTCGTGCCCCTCGTGCTTTTCACATGCAGAGCTCAAATGAAGGCCCAGCAGATATCATTGCAAAGGTTGCTGGTGTTACTCAGGGTGGAAAGCGTGAGGACGATGGCCCTTATTTCACCAACAACGAGGGCATTCCGTGGCCTGATGCAGAGCACAGCAAGACCATTGGCGGTATCCCTGTTGCCAGCGATGTATTTCTTTTCCAAAAGCAGCAAACATTCAACCGCTCCAAAAACCTTGAGCGCATGGTACACCCTTGTGGATCAGGCGCTTTTGGATACTTTGAGACCACCAAGGACGTTACCGACCTCACCAAGGCAAACTTCCTGCAGACTGTGGGTGAGAAAACGCCCGTATTCGTTCGATTCAGTACCGTCACGCCTGGACGCGAGTATCCTGACGAGGCTCGTAACCCCCGTGGTTTTGCGATCAAGTTTTACACTGGCGAAGGCAACTACGATATTGTCGGCCTCAACTTCCCGGTCTTCTTCTGCCGCGATCCTATCCAGGGGCCGGACGTTATCCGTTCGCAATGGCGCAACCCAAAAAACTTCCTCTTCGACTACGATGCCATCTTTGATTTGCTCGCTAACACCCCCGAGGGAAACCATGCTGGTCTTATGTTCTTCAGCGACCACGGTACGCCTCAAGGATGGCGATTCAATCACGGCTATGGATGCCACACCTTCAAGTGGGTGAACAAGGACGGCCAGTTCGTGTACATCAAATATCACTTTATCGCCGAGCATGGTCAGAAGCAATTTACCCAGGAGCAAGCGACGCAAATGTGCGGCGAGGACCCTGACTACTCTAAGCGCGACCTCTGGGAGACCATTGAGAACGGTGAAGAGGTGGTCTGGAAGGCATACGTACAGGTGTTGAGCCCTCAGGACGCTGATCCCGACAAGCTTGGCTTCGATCCCTTCGATGTCACCAAGGTATGGCCACGCAAGCAATTCCCAATGCAAGAGTTTGGTCGTTTGGTTCTCAACAAGAACCCCGAGAACTTTCATCGCGACGTCGAGCAGGCGGCTTTCTCTCCCGGTAGCATGGTTCCTGGTATTGAAGACTCGCCTGACCCGCTTCTTCAGTTCCGGATGTTTTTCTACCGTGATGCGCAGTACCACCGTATTGGCGTGAATCTGCATCAGATTCCCGTCAACTGCCCGTTCATGGCGAAGTCTTTTGCGTCGCTCAACTTCGATGGCCAGATGCGTGTCGATGCAAACCATGCTGGCAACAAGCAATATGCTCCGAACAGCTTTGCGCACAAGTTCCGACCAGACACAGCCGAGGCCCCATATCAGGTGAGCGACAACATCATGAGCCGGAAGAGCCATTACTGGCACGAAGGCAAAAGAAATGAATACGACCAAGCCAAGGAGCTCTGGTCTCGCGTCATGAGTGAGCAAGAGAGAAGGAACACGATCAAGAACACTGCCAACATGCTCAAATTCGTGAGGTATCCTGAGATCCAAGTATGTTCACGTCCTCCCAAATGTCTTTCGCACACTAACGACCGTCACAGAAGAAGTATCTCGCACAGGTCTACAACATTGGTACTGATCTCTCAAGGGGCATTTACGATCTCCTTCCGAAGCCTGATTTTGAATTCACAGAAGTTGAGGAGCTGTCCAAGACTGCGCATGAGTGGTACAAGGAGAAGAAATTCAGACCCAACGCTGGCGAGAGACTGACTGGGTTCTCTCCATCTATGTCGGTTTACAACTATTGAGCTTAGCATCACGTATCCAATCCTAGCATATGAAACAACAATGCATGTGCCCAGTTTTTTTTAGTGATGATTTAGATAAACGGATATGTTCCATTGCACTGGCTCTAGGTCAAGGCTTGATCCTAGTAATATAGTGTATGACCCTGCAACATACTATAGCCAAGTACTGATTTCTTACCCATGACAGAACTAGGGTTGAAATAAACATTGTCGAGATGGACCTCCGATCTTGTCAGACGCTTAAATTGACGACCCAGGAATTATCTCAGGAGTACCATCAAAATATTCCAGGACACCTTGATGACTCCGACCCGTTGCGCCATGTACTAGCAATTAGCTAAAACTGCCTTCCCAGCTGTTGCAGCATCCGCAATTGAAGACTGTGCAGAGACAACTGCAGAGTCAGATCTAAAATCGATTGTTAGCTGCTAAGCACTTCAACTTCACATAAACTAGGACCTACGCATCACCACCTCCCAACGCTTGGGTAGCAGCTGTGATTCCAGCTGCCGTCTGATCGCGAGCATCAGCTGGCGGAGCTGCTCCCGTAAGTATGGCCTTCGCGATTTGACCAATTCCAGCAGATGCATTATCGAGGCCTGCCTGAGCGGCTGTAGCCACAGTTTGGTCCTGAATTTTGTCTACACTATTGCCTGTCTGGGCTAGTGCAGCCACAATCTGAAAGCGAGCTACATTGCATGCGATGGCATTTTGTCGGGGATAGATGCCTGGAATAGTAGTTAGAATCGACAAGTAGATTGTGCGATGTGGTAGAAATAGTGAAATGGATTTCAACGTACTCGCAGCAGAAGAGCTAGCGACAAGGGTCGCGATCATGATAGCTTGGAGGGAATACATTTTGGGTGAGAAAAAAAGAGTAGTAAGACACTAGTTGAGAAGGTTGTAAGAAATGTTGTTGAAAGAGTTGTAAGACACCAGGTCGAAGAAGAGAAAGATTACAGTAAGGATTTGGTTGTCCTGATAGCTACCTTACTGGATTTTATATACATTCCCAGAGAAGAATTCTGGCAAGGCACCCCGCGATCGCAATATCCATGCCCAAACAGGAGTTCTGTTGTGGAGAGCTTATCCACCAATAAGAGCTGTATCGCATCAACCTCGCATATCAGGTTTGAGTAGGTGATACAAGCAACCTCGGAAAAACGGGCAACATTGGCGCCCGAAATATGCAGCTAATCTATGGGAATCTCGGGTGTCGACATGCCTAAGGATTTTATTGGATGTCTCAGGATCTGCGACGGGATTCGTGTTTGAAACCCGTGTAACAGAACAGGATGAAACAGGAACATGTTACATCTGAGCTACCTTAGCAATGCCTGACATTACATGTTTGTGCATAGGCTAGGGTCTTCTTACATAGAGCCTTTGAGAGATGCTCGTATATGTAGATATCGAGAGGATGCACCGCGTAGTACGTAGAAGAACAAAGACTGAGAGGACGATATTAATCTGATCGTGGTATAGGGTCAATGAAGTTCCTCGTGGGGTGTAATTCATGGCCTTCGAGCATAGGCAAACGATGGCTGAAGCGAGCCTTCTCCTTATTCTCTGCATCAACCATCTACCTGAGCCTTGCGAGGCTGATCCCATTATTCGTGCTGAAGGATGGCGATGAGAAGAGTCAAACTTGACAAGTCTCATGATCAAAGGACTCTAGCCAAGATTCCTGTATTAATCCTGAGGCTGCTTGGTAGTTAAAGGCAGGTGAGCAGCGTCAACCACCGCGACAAGCCATTGTAGTAAGTCGACAATGAAGCTTTGCCTTAGCTTTACAATGCTCCAGGTGGTACTCTTGTCAGTTGCTTGATCTTGCTCTGTGAGATGAGTGAGATAGTATGAGATTATCAACGTTACGTTCATACTGAGACTTGGGCATCTTGACAATCTTGTAGACTCGAATGTTTGATCACCAGCCAACCGATGCCTTTACGCTCACATTCTGGTTGTAAATGATTTAGTATCAGACCATATTTTGTGCCTAAAACAGTTGTTATCACTGAAGTTAGACCAGGGAAGCTTGCCATTTCAGCTTCCATATCTTCGTTATTCCCTGGCTTTACTCACTTGGTTGTCATCGAGTCAACTGTTCCACTCTTATCAAATACTCCTTTCCAATATCCCACCTCCCGGCAAACCACGTCATGAGCCTCCAAAGCCCTTTCAAATCTTTCTCTGCTACAATGTCTTCACCGCCATTCCTTGTCTCCAACACCACGATCGCGCCTCTAAGGACCGCACAAAGTGCCGCAAAAGGAACTTGCAGGATATCGCTCTCCACTTGAATAGCATCTATGGCTACACAAAGCATTTTCCAAGCCATGATACGTGACGCGTGAAGTGCTGCAGCGATGAAGGGAAGACTGGGACCCGATATGTTTTGAGTTATATAGAATTGGTGTTCGGTGACTTGAAGCAGGATATGAGAACTACAGTATGTAAACTTGTGTAACCACACGAAGAGATGGTCAATGATGGAGAGATGGGAAATATTCATCAAGAGTGAAAGCTTACCAGACCAGCGTGGGGTATGAAGCGCAATGCAACCATGTGTTTGGTGGCGGCCCTCCGTCCAGCATGCTAATAATGTCATGAATTGCCTTATTCACGGATTCATAAGGCTCGTCAGGCGAGAGGTCATGGCTACGTGCGTGAATGTACGCCGACACACGACCTGATGCAATAGAAACAAGAGTACGGAAGAAGATTGTTCGGGGGCTACTAGCATGACGGAATGGTACGGAGGTGACTGTCAAAAGTTCTTGCTGACAGGGACTTATGAAGTACTACCGAAAATGCTGCGGAAGGCAATTAATTATACTAAGTCTGTAAATAAAAGCCCTTAATATAGTAGTTTAGAGATATTCTTAGCTACTAAAGGATAGATTTATAGTAGTACGCTAACTCTATTAAGTGGTATTATCTACCCGCTAGAATGATAACAGAAAGTGTGTTAAGAGAATTCGGTCCGATAGATCCGTGCCTTAGCATGAACTCTTGACAGTCACCTCCGTACAGTGGGTGGCATGGGACCCAGTCCTTTGGCGAGGGAGGTTGGGATGGGATGTTCGGGCGATATTACCAACTGTAGATAGTGCGGACATGCCATAAGGTGATTCACTCTAGATCTAGTAAGCCTGATATGACTGAAACTTTTACAGGACTGGATTAGGCAAACTCACCGATCAAGTCTGAGGAGACTTGACTTGAGCTGTTTCAGCATACGTGATTGCTTGCCAATGTGGACTGGAGACGTTTCGCAATCTAAGATTTGCAGCATAATGGCACAACTTGACACTGTGAAGTGAGCCTGTGTTCGTAGACCGTGGCTCACCTCATAAGCTGCGATCAGCATGCCGACCTGGATAGCTTCCACCCTCATCTCAATGTCCATTTGAAGGATCACGTGTATGTGCTTCATCGTGCGGTAGAGTTCTGTTGTGCTCATACTTTTCTGATGTATACATGGCCTTTGCATTAGAAGCCACATACATAATGCGAAGAGTGGCTGTCTCTCCGCCTGCTCGGATAGATCGTTCTCGCCATTCTCCAACATGTTCTCGTCGAGAACTGGACACCATTGGTGTATACACATTCCAAACTCCTTCAAAGCGAGTGATAAGTCAAATCCAGCGAGATCCAAGATCCCTTGGACAGTGTTCCAGAGCCTTATCGTATCCAATTCTGAAGGTGCAAATGGATTGGTACATGCTGAAATCCTTTGCAGGAGCTTAATCATCCCGCGAGACGATGAATCGGTCTGCGAACACGATTCGTGACAAGACACCAGAGGATCTGACTCATCGCACACCCGTTGGGGAGCCTTATGAGGAGTGTAATCGCAATTTCGGTTCGAGCTACAAGAAGCGCATCAGCCAGCTGCTGCTAAAAAAAAGCCAGGCGACTATGTCGGAAGATAGTGCCTACGGAATGTTTTTGACTGACCCGGCACATCTGTTACATCTTGGTAAAGTCCTGTCACATTTCTGCTTCCTGATTCGGCAATACGAGCATACGTTCGCTGCCTTGCGCGTGAAAGTAATCAACTCCTGTACACCGCTATCCATGGGTATGTTCGTATTTATGCAGGATATCTTGCTATGGAAAGCGGCCGATGCATACAGGGTTTGGCGTTCAACGCGCTTGAAAATTAGACAGTGATTAGTAATAGAAAATATTGCAATTGTGGCCCTAGTCTCAAAAGGTTTAAGATTCTGCTTTGGAGAAGCCGGCAGTAGCCGATTCTGAATACTTGCATGTACATAATTCCACTAGCAAGACTGCAGATCTAAAAATCATATTTGAAGGCTAACTAGCGATGCGATTCAGAGAAAGTATTGAGACACAAAGTATCTAGGAACTAAAGCACCCCCTAAGCAAGACAACTACACTACTAATGTTTATCTCTAACTACAGTTTGGAAACAGAAGAAATATCAATAAGGCGATTCGTGAGCGGTGTACAGCCAAGCAGTGTCCAGCCAAGCGGTATCCAGCCGTGCGATCGTGGCTCTGTTGAGTAAATGATCGCGTAGCTTTGACAAGCTTCAGCTATGTACCTCCAGTGCGCTTGATCCACCAAAGACTGCATATCGCGTACAGGTCGAGAGGCTGTAATTTAGTGGCGTGATTGCAGTTGTGAAGTAGGCTTTACATCTCTTTACTGCCGTGCGTGTGAATAGGCAGATACTGCCTAGGACCTCTCGACTAGGTGGCTGGAGACAGGTCTTCATTAACCAATCCATACCGGGTAGTTATAGCAGACTTTCCGCATCTAGACTGCATTTAGGAAAAAGGTAACCGTATACCTCAGGGCGACTCTAGCTCTCATCTGCGCCGTCGAGATAGCCAAGGTCCGACATGCGCTTGACAACATCATACGTTGCAATTCCAAAGTTGCTGGTTCGACTAAGAATGATCTCAGGCGTGACATGCTGCTGGTATCTACCCAACTGAAAGGCATGCAGCATATAGGTCGCAGAAAAGTCCATCTCCCAATCGGCACGCCTTCTCCTGTTCAAAACGGCATTTTCGTACAGCTTCATTGGGTCCGTCGAGTCGATGACCTGGGGTATAGGTGATGGCTTGTTTTCGTTGGGTATGAATAGGGGATCAGTGCTCTCCTTCAGCCAATGCGTGGGTGAGAAAGAGTTGCGGTCCAGGATGAGGACTTCGTACGGAATCGGGAGGAGACGCTCGGCAATCAGTGTCATGCTTTGCAGGTTGGCCTCCCAACGACCGTCAAAGCCAGCATGTTGCTCGCGTACGATGATGCGCGCTATGGTGCTGTTTGGCGTCGTCAAGAAGACACCATTGTTGATGGTGCCATTTAATTCTTTTGTGGTAGAGCCACCATAATGGCGGCCGCCGATGAAGGCGAAGCCTGTGTTCATGATTGGTGCGAGAGGCCGCAGCGCTATCACATCCCAGTCCAAGTAGATACCGCCAATCTTTTCAATAGTTTCCCAGCGGAGGAAGTCCGACTTGTGCTGGATAGCATCGATGGGCTTGTTCTGGTTTTGACCAGCGAAGTTGGGCGCATGAACGGGATTCCATGTAAGAATGTCAGCGAAGGTATTGACGACTGCCTTGGTCCACCGGTCACCCTGCTCGCCTGCTTGCTTGATTTCCATTTCGTTGAAATCGGTGTGAATGTAGATCTTCGTCGGCCTGATGTACATGACAGCGGCGTATATGTTTAGGAAGCTGGAGAAGGGGAATTTCAGAACCGAATTCGCCTCTTTCTTGATCTGAACATAGTGCACAATGCTGGGTATGGGTCCATTTCCTGGTATCCCCGTAGGCTTGAACATTCCGTACTGCTTCGCCTTTTCCACTGGATGAAAAGAGATCGTGGATAGAAAGAAGACGAGAATGACGCAGGCTGTCGTTATGGTCACGATACGTGTACGAGAGCGGGCGGCAGGCGCGGAAACGAAGGGCATGTATTGGCACATGTTGTCTTTGGGCTTTAAAATGCTGAGGTGGGAGATGATCTGATTCAACATAGTGGTGTAACGAGCGAGTGTTTTGCCAGAGGGGAAGAGTGAAGGGAACAATGGAGAACCCAGAAAGACGTGAGAGATGTTCAGGGGTGCGATGACGTATCCGGCATGTTTGATTTCAAAAGCTTAAATATTGCTGTATGACAATTCTCGTCAACTCTGGTGTCAGCACATAGATAGGCCCGATTCAAGCTGACATGAAGTAAAGCTTATCTCACCAGGTTGAAATTCTGGCTATTCTACACTATGACCGCCTCTCACTTAGAAGCTAGCGGATAGCCTAAATTACTAAAAGTAGCTATACTACCCTAGTCACTAGTAGGCCTAAAAGAAACCTAAGACACAATACTTACTAATACATGTGATAGTAGTGGATATGGTTGGACTAGGCGTGTACAGCTTACACCAAGGCGCCAATTTAGCGTATTACATAGGTATTCTGATGAGGGATAGCGCTTACTTAGAGGGTTTCATTTTGGTGACAGACTATCAGATTGCAAGGAGAAGCGGTATGCTGAACGAAATTTCGCCGCAGATTGTACCATATCCATGTGGTATACTATCTATTTCTGTGTTGAGTCTGACTAATAGCTCTGGCACGCGAAAGCTTACTGCGTGTGATTAACGTGTTTTATCAGTAAGCGGCCCACATCAGTAAGTGGCCCACCCCACCAAACCTGACGCGATACTCTCCACAACCACCACTATGCCGCGACAACGGGGGGATGGCGCAGTGGTGGAGCGCCTGGAAAATTTTCTGCTGTCTCACGTCAGCAAAGATCGAAGGTTCGAATCCTTCTCCCCTCACAACCATATTTATGGTCCACCCACATGAGAGAGTTACTCATTAAACTACCTATTCGACTGAGAGAGTTACTCGTTAAAACTTGAGAGGAAGACTCATTTAAAGTGAAAGATCTGAGAGAGTTACTCAACTAAAAAACTCTAGGCTACGAGCCTCACCTTCATTTAGACTAACCCCCTACATTAGTACCTACTCAATTTGTACCTAGTATTAAATTCTAGCCTACGTAGTTACTTGCAGGCCTTAAGCCTGCACGTCTTATATA